CATACTGACCCTAGAGAAAGGGAGCCTGTTGGAAAACAGAAGATCAGCTTGTTCCCAGTGTCATGTGCATGGTAGCAAAGGGGTTGCGGCCCGGCAAGCCAGCACATTGGGTCGGTCAGTCCCGGCAAACAGAGGCATATTCCAGCTTGAGGACACAATTCTAATCCGAGACTACGATAACCAGCCTTTCTCCAATGGATATACGTAAAGATACAATGAAAAACGAGGTAATATAACTCACAATTACACAGCTGCCTATGTCTTACCAGTGAGCAAGATGGGTATGAAATTGTCATGAGCACATTATTTAATTTACAAAAGACAGATATCATATTGTGATACTCAATGGTCAACTTCATTTTTCTCAGCAGCCTCGCCAGCATGGCTTCTGGTCCTCTGTGGACTGAGAATTCCATGCAGACCTGTTGAAGGAGTGCAGATATCAGATATCAGATCTGAGATATTGCATTCATGCACTGTCACCCATGCCAATGACACCAAGGAGAGCAACAATGGATCATGAATTTTGTATAGCGATGCTGAATAGGGTGAAAAACAACTGGTAGTGAGCGATAAGTTGCCGGGCCAGGGGCGGCTTCCACTTGCCTGACTCTCATCGGATTGGACCTTACCAATACCAACCTTCAGACACAAAATGGCAGATGTGTTAGAATCCTAGTGGAATGACACAAAGTGGGGACTATCATAGTTCTTAACCTTCAACGATTGTGATTCCTTCCGGATACAACCAAAAATATATTGGGAGTGATTCACAGTAATACAGCTTCCCAGTTCGAGCAAGGGATATTTGTCTATCCAATGAATCCAATGAAATTATCATCAGTGGGTGTTAACAAGAAAAAAGCAGATATTGTACCTTGATACTCTGAAAAGCATTTGCAAAACCAAAGATGAATCCGTGTGCCATAGGTGAAGCACAAAGAGGATTGACACCGGTGGATGGTTCACTGCTGACCCAACGATATCACCTTCTGGTACATTAGTGAGTATACTGAAAGACAGGTGAACAACGTCGTTTGCGAAGGAGGACTTAAATTTAAGAATGAAGGAAAGGTATGGAGTTGTACAAATTGAGGACATTAAAAACTTAATCAACATCTAGAGAATTGACCGAGGTCAATAAGGAGGTGTACAATTTCATTTCCAAATGATGCGAATGCAGAGACGTTAAAAAGAGACGAGAAGCAAGAGTGCAGAGGCTATGCATGAATTGCAGCCGCAGATCCTATTAGAGTTACTGTGGCTGTACGAGCCGTCGGAATCAACCGGCTCCGAACCTGTTACTTACCATACCTGTAGTCTTCTTTTCTTTACTGTTTACCACCATGTCGACATACTAGGTATAAACGAGTTGCTCATTTTCGTTCCCTCCCGTGCTCGAATCTCAACAGATCCTGCAATGCATCTAAAACAGGACATGGACTTCACCCTCGATGTCACAGGAGCAGTTATGAAACCACGAAACACAAGCACCGAGGAAATGCAACGTTGCAGCACACCATTTCAAAAAACAGCACGGCAACAGTTATGGTATAGCAGGAAGCAGCCAGATACATGACGATCAAACAGTGGTATGATGCTCCGAGACTAGCTGAACACCGTGAAAGACATGACCGCTTTTCATGGGTCCTGAAGAATGGCACCAATGCTGCACCCGAAAGCCGAGTATTCGATCTACTGGTTTCGGAAAATTGCAGCCTGAAAGAAGAGAGATCCTGCTGTGTTCAACGGCACTGCCCAGTCTACAGCGCCAAAATCACCTCGTTCGTCCTCGACCCTCCCCGAAACAAGCACTAGGGCACTAGTGAGTGCTCGAACTTCTGGAACACTGATCACCAAGCAAGGAAGAGAGTGTGGAGTGAAGAGGAAAGGAAGAGAAAAGATGCATTTGGGAAGGCAGGGCAGTACCATTGTTAGACAACAGTCACCTAGAGTAAGCGCTCTCGGAGGAGGCGATTCTTTCGAGTGTGAAATAACCTGGCGTTTCCTGAAGGTGTGATCTGTGGGGCTCACTTGAGGTGAAGCGACGGCGGCCAGGTCTTGGTCATTGAACATTGATAGAAGCGTGGAGACAGCATGCAGTACAGATTGATACTTGCTGGGGAACCAGCCAGAAATTTGTGAAATAGTCCCGATAGCATCATCCTAACCAAGAAAGTCAGATTAGGTAGCACTAGGTGTAGGATATATACATGCATTGGTCCACTTTACCCATCTCAGTACTCATTTTAATCTTCGGTCCAATGCTAAAAGCTGCTTGTTCAACGTTTATGTAAACCAGGGAAAATCAACCTACGAAATACCTATACGACATGACTCTTCCCTGGATGCTCAGTGCAATCAGGGAATAGGCGAGTTGCCGAAATATCGTTGATTTGAGGATGCGATTGATCATCAGTACCCTCTGTTGCCATGCAGATCCATCAGGCGGTGATTACTGGGCCACAGTTCTGTAAGAAAAACGTCTGGGATGGTCTAAAAATGCAACAACTAGACATACCACTGCCCTTCATGGGATCTTCTATGCAGAAAAAGTCAAGGAAGTAGCCTGGCACCACATATATGCTGGACATGGTGATAGAAAACACTGCAGATCCGACATTGGAGCAGCACCATCTACCGAAAAAGTCTTGTCATAGCATCAGTGCACCCATAAGAGTATCATCATCAATGAATGTTCCTAGAGTTTTTTGATTCTTTCGATGGCAGATCATGTTGCGATATCTGCGGCACGCCGCCGCTATATTGTTATTAAGAGCATGTAGTGTTGTCGGGGCTTTGGTACAAGGGCGTCCCGATGCTTAACTCTAGCTGGTGTGGTACCAGTGAGCAATTTGTTCTGGCGACGAGCCAATAACGACCCTGATGAGACCATCAAATTAGAACAGAATCACTGCTTCAGGGAGTTTGCTGGTGGAACATAATAGCATCGTTCTAGCCCAGGGGTCAGAGAGCATAGACCACGAAATGGATACACGCACTTGTGGCTCTCTATCTCGTCGTCAATTTTAGTTCCCTTCTTCTATAACACTACTCGGTCAACATTGGAATAAGCCACGGTGAAAGAAATTCGCCTACCTCATCACGATTAGTGAGCTGACCACCGGTAAGGATATCGTTGGTGCGCTCGATCATGAAAATTTCCCCACAGCACTGCAAGAGGAAGGTCGGGAAGAGCATAAAGATACAAGAAGCGGACGTACCATTGCAGCGGTAGAGAAATTTGTTGAGAAACCAATCCGCTAGTGTGTCATAACCGCGATGGACCCATTTAACTAGCATTCATACCAGGACAAAGCCTTGGTGTTGGATGTATGCTGGTCCATGTGAGAGAAGATGCTTCCAGCATGTTTCTTTAGGCTACGCTCCGATGGCGGTCTACTTGGCAAAGGATGTTGTCGGATGGTAACGTCAATGCACTGCCAGCATTTTCAAGGAATTCTGTTGGCCAGTCACGTCTCATAGACAACCATGGGATGAAGCCCGTTGCAGGTCACCACATAAGTTACCCAGCGATGTCGGGAAGGTGGTTTTGGTTGCGATTGAACAAGTTGGGCTGGGTGCCAGTCTGTTCCATGTCTTAAGGGCAGGGAAAGTGTGTGGCACCTGTTACAATTGACGACAATAGCCAGCACATGGAAATTGCTATTCGAGTAATCATATATAGCCAGAATGGCAGGACAAACACGCACACATGCATTTATCGAACACATATTCGACATCCATCGATACTCTTGACTATTTGTCTGGTTCTACACCGACCGACATGCCTGCACATCCACAATGTGGATTTCCGGTCCTGGAGAAACTCTGCCATTTGAAAGAGAGAAAGCACCCATGTTTGACAATGTCGTCAGAAACACGCTGGCCCTCTCCTAGAAAAAGGAATCTCTATGCAGTCCAAAATACGGTAAGACTTGACTCACAATGACACAATCTAGTTCCTGCAAGGTAGATAGATCAACCTATAATATGAAATGACCATGAGCGCATTTTTTCAAAATAAAAAGGAGATTACTCATGGTGTTGCCCAATGCTTCATGAATTCTGGCCGGGTATGAACTACTGGTCATTCACAGATGAGGAAAAGAATCATGGTGTTCTCTGTGCCCCAATGGTAGAGATATGAGAGAGTCGACTGGTGGTGCATTCGTTGCTATATTGCATGGTCAAAGTCGTGATGATGGTGGTAGAAGATCAACCAAAATGCCGGTGGCAAGTGAGGAGGACTCGGGTGTTCCGCAAGTCATGTGCGATCTAAGGGCATGTTTCTGCAACTTTTCTTTTCTCCTTGGACGCAGCGCTCTGCTACGCCATATTCTCTAATTTTCTGCAACAACCAGCCTCTTGCTTTTTCTGGATTTGATGGGTGAGAATTACGGGTTGATCAGTATGCTCTCTATGTTTCGCCATTCCACTTGTCTAATGTGCATTTACCTGTCGATGCATATTTCGCCTACAACCAGGCACAGCCAAACAAAATTAACTAGTCCAAGAAATCTGAAAACAATAAGAGGGTACAAGGCTCTTTTTCAGCTGCCCTCCAGTGCTTTAGCTACTATTGCCCCGGGAAAATCACAACAGAATGCATCTTATATTTTGCGTACTTGGCCCAAAATCACTTGCATATATGGGTATCTTACTACATACTTCGAGCTGCTTTCGAACTGTTAAGCATTTCGCAACGACTTTTCACCCGACTATTAACGTCAAGCCGGAGGAGATTACAGAATGAACATCTATGCTAGACGAGTACTGGAAAAGACGGTAAATCCAATTAATACTGAATCCTTTCATACTAGCATGTTGGCACAAAGGACAGGTTGAGACAAATTCACTAAAAAGAGACATAACGGCAGCCATGGTGAGTGGATATTGCAACCTCTCTGTCGACTCCCTACTGAGTATCAAGTACAGCGATCCACGAATGAAGACATTAGGTACGACGAAAATTTGGGTTGGAGTAGTACTCTGGTCTATCAGACTTGGAGCTCATCCCCACATATACCATCCTCAATATCAAAGTCACCATCCTGTCGTCTCCCTATGCAGGCCTTTGGGTGATCTGCAAGAATGAGGCACTCCATCTCAACCCCAATATCTTCCTGGAAGGCCCTCAAGGTGCAGCGGTGGTCATCTGTAATATCTTCCTCAGAGTCCATCAAAGTACGATGGCCATATTCGTCGGAGCTCTCCTGCTGAGCTTCAAGGTCTTCATTCCGAGAACTCTGAACCCTGGAACACGTCCTGAAATGGAGTGAACCCGATATCACGCTTCCCATCCATGAATCATCTGGATGGGCATGACCTGCTGCGACACGCCCTATGATGAGTGTCGGGGCAATTCCCTACATGATTATTGTTAGATGTGAAGAGAGAAAAATACATAAACATACCCGTGCAATTGCTGCTAAGACATCGAAGTACATAATTGAAATGGTATTGCAAGCAAAGAAGGCGGTGCATAAGATCAAGGCTATTGAATAAAGAGCTGATGACTCAATCAAGATCTCGAGGACATGGTGGTAAGCCCTGAGTCCACCTCCCGCTTCACCTCCTGCCTGTGCAACGGTGACAATTCAGTAGATGATTAATAAGGTGCACCACAATGTCATGGCAAGGACACAAGATGGATAGGGCATGAAATAGTGACAGTATTTGCCCGGAAAAACATATCGTTGGTATGTAGCAATACTTCTGAAGACTGCACTGAGCTGTAAGTATATTGGTAATATAGAAGATCTGTGTGTTCATACCAATTGCGGAAATAAGAGAAAGAATAGGGGGCAGAATAAGCAACCACCATCATCCCCAGACGATCCAACAATGCCAAATCTGTAATCAGACTAAGGGTAAGCAGCATTAAATGGTAAAGCACGATTACACACAATAGTAGAGTCTGCAAGGATAGTACAGGTTGCAGCTGCGACACCCCCACCAATTGTTTTCAATGCAGTTGGATCACGAGAAAACAAATATTTTCTCCAGAAACTCTGTCCATGGTCGATGAATAAAATGTGCATGTCCAACCAAATGTTCACGAAGTTGAATGCGGTGACAATATAAAGGAGTATTATAATGATAACCATGCCTTGTCGAATACGCTGAGACTTGTTCATAACTAGAATGTCATTTAACTCGGTTTCTATAATGTATAATGCATGATTTCCTTACAAATATACCATAGTGTGACAGCTACGATTCCAGTGTATATGCCTATGTCCAGCCATAATTAGATACTTGTACCTAGGAAAATGAGCAAACCGCACCTTGTAATAGAGAGTCAAGTATTGTTTTATTCAAGTCCGCATCAAGTAATTCAAATATGGAGGTTTTAACGGCATCAGGAATGTCTGGTGGACTATTGGTCCGAGCAGCCATCAGGAAATCCTGGAGAGGATAGAATGGTAAGTGAGGGAGGTTGTTTACCCCATCCGTCCTTATATAGCATACCACGCCCTGCTGTATATCAAGGACAGCGGCTGTATGTAACAAAGGGAAAGAAATATCTCTATTCTTAAACTCACTGATACCTAACAGCATCCAGTTATTCATTACATGAAGAATACAAGCATCCTTGTCATGTCAAACAGTGCAGGAAACTCTACAAAATCCACTGAATGGGTATAACATGTCGCCCACATCGTCTCATGGGGGGAGAAATACAATCACATGGATTCTCTGAAGTACGTCTCGTCGTGACGATGCTTGTAATCCTGACATATAACACCTTAGTCGGCAGAAGATCACCTTCAAGGTCAACATATGAAAGTATTACGAAATGGTGCTAGAACAGCCATGGGTCTCGCGGTGATATACAATTCAATATGCACAGGAATAGCGTTATCCTCTATGCCTGTTTGATGCCCGTGCATCCTGAACCGCTATACTGTATCGCATTTATCAATAGGTGTAGTAGAAGCTCAACAGGGAGTAGTACATACTACACTGTCCAATGAACCCAAGGAATATATACCCGCTCAACCTCAAAGGCGGAAGGAAATCCAGTTCCTTTCAATCGTTTTGATCCTTAGGTGCTTGACGTATAAAGTGTTTCAAGTGAACCCCGATCCCACGTATTTGGTGAGAGAATGAAGCGACTTGACGAGTCACTGCCAGAAGTTTCCAATCTACTATGAGCTGGTATGTGACTTCAGGCCGATAGTCAAATTGGACCACAACGATGTGATTTCACTATCCCGAATAGTCTGCTTTCGATGAATCAGAGCATCAGGGAGGAATGAACTACCGATAATCAATAATAATGTTCGCTCCTTACCGAGACTTCACAGGGATCGGAGATCTATTGTCCCTCTATGTTGTGGATTTTATCGACCCTGGAGAAAAGGAGCCAAAAAATTACCGTTGTTCTTGCATGCGAAAATGCGCTGAGGCTAGGATGTCCCTGCGGAAAGGTTACCAGGATGAGCACTGGAAGTGCATTAAGTCGCACAGCAGAATATAGAAAACCAGCAAACTGAGGCATATTCCGGGTTGAGGATGCTATTCTAAGATGAAATTTGCTTCGATAACCAGTCTTTCTGTTATGGAAAAAAGTCAAGATACAACCAAATTGGAGGTAATATAACTCGCAGCTAGACGGCCACCCATGTCTTTCCAGCGAGCGAGACGGATATGAAATCATCACGAGCAGGTTTTAATGATAAAAAAAGGCAGATATCATACTGTGATACTCAGTGGTCGACTACATTTTCTCAGTAGCCTCGCCAGCATAGTATTCTGGTCCTCTGTAGAATCAGAATTCCACGCAGACCTGTTGAAGGAGCGCAGATCTGAGATGTCACATTTACACACCTTGCCAACGCCATCAAGGAATGCAACAAGATTTCACACCGCAATGTTGAAAATAGGGCCAGAAAATACTGGCAGCATATCCATCGCTGTATTGCACGTCCAACTTCAAGTGCTGATAGCGGTGGTGGTGAGCGATAAGATGCCGGGCCGGTGGCGGCTTCTGCCTGCCTAACTCTCATCTGACCGGAGTCCGGACATTATCACTATTACCTCAACCTTCAGAGACAAAATAGCGGATGTGTTGGAATCATAGCAGAACAAGATTCGGAAGTGGGGAATATTATAGCTCTTAACCTTCAACGATTGTGGACCTACGATTACTTCCAGGATCAGTGTCACATACTCGTAATAGTATGGCCATACTTGTATGCTAGGATCTAGTATGGTACGTCGACGGTCCCTCTTTCAGCCCAAACCCAGATTTCACCAACATGAATCCTCCAGACCTCTGCTCGTCCTTCCACTCTACCCTGTATTGGAGCTCTGTTGCATTTTCTACAGTGTTTTCTCCAAAGACGCTATCCAACTCCACATTCCTTGTAGCCCTGACTATATCCAAAAACGCCAGGTCCCGGACCTCACCATTCTTCACTATACATGCTAGTCCGATGGCGCCGCATACAAATGTCAATGCAAGCGCAGTAGCATAGGTCATCCACAGTCTACGCGCATCGTACACCCATACCAAATAGTCCTGTGTCACCGTAGCATTGACCTCCGTTGTCTCCACACCTGCGCTTATAAGTGCAATAGTCACATTGACAAGTATCTGCTCTAGGGCCTTCTTCACATCGTCATCCCTTGGAGTAAATGTAGTTGCAGTTTCATTGATAACAAAAATTCCAGTCGATATGACATCTGAATTTTTGTACCACTGCTTCCCTTGTTTCAAATAAGAAATATAGCCATCCAGTTGGTCTTGGAGCCAGGACAAGATTGTTAAGTAGCTCACGTAGTAAGAAAGTGTGGGAGACATCTCCAATGTTTGTCGTTCATTGCATTGGGACTGCATCTGTGGTGTGAACCCGCCATCAAAGCGCTCATTATACGAAATGATGCTAGGTAGAATGATGCCTGTGTTATTGGAAAATGACACTGTAGATTGTTGCGTGGTGTTGAACAGATAGCAAATCATGCTACCAAAGATCAAATCCCCCCCTACACTGTATTTTCGCCATGAAATAGCGATATCGACATCTGAGCGCATATATTGGGAGGCACCATTATAGACGCCTTCGGAAGAGTCGTTACTCCAAAGAAGTGCAGGTGGTTGGGCTGGGTGTATTGTGGAACTTCCATTGAGGATGTCTTCTGCATCAATGCTGGAGCAGCGTAGAGCAGGTGCACTGTATTGCAATGTATAGTTGCACCCACTTTCACACCCTAGGGGTGCACTCCATCCAACGAGTCCATCGAACCGCAGTGATCTCTCCAGGACTCTTTCAAAGCTCGAAGTCACCTCATAAATGCAGCCCGACACTGATGGTAGAGGGTAAGCCCAGCCCTGCTCAAGCGGATCTCTGTCGAAAAAGATTGTGGGGGCAGAGATGATCTGTGTTTTGGGAGAAGCAGGACCCACTGCGAGTGCATTGGGTGCCAGGATGGATACAAGGGTGTAGACCGGGATGAGTGCAGAAATGAAGATGATGGGAAGGATTCTCCACGGCCTCTTCGACAAGACCAAGAAAAGAGTGGGCAGCTGTCCTGGTAAGCTGAATAGCTGATTTAGCTGCGAAACAGTAAAGGGTCGGCGACGGAGAAACCACCAGATCTTCAATGAATATAAGAAACTTGTTCGAAGTAACAAGTGGATACTCACAAGCTGTGTAAGAGACACGGAAACGGATACCGCACAGAGGGATTGAACGACTATACTCAGCGCGTTAGAGGTGTTCTTCATCCAAAACTGTTCCTCGACGCGACGTCCTCGAAGGAATACCAAAAAGAAATGATGTACCACTGAGACGAAAGCAGCGCCTGCTATCAGACCTACTATGGTCAAGTTTGGACCAGAAAGCATTGTAGAAATAGTGGTTGGTGATAGGGGGATTCGACCTCGAAACTTGGATTTTGAGGCAAGACCATGCCCAGAGTGCGATGGTGTAAGGAGCTCTGCCTTCTCTTCGCCATTGACGTTTGCCATCATTTACCGTAGAAATCAAGTGTAGAGTATAGTGGCGGGGAAACAAATATTGAGATCTAGGTTTCATTGCGGGGAGCTGTATGAACAAAGACTAAGCGCCCAATGATGTAAGCCGGTGGTGATTTTTCGCCTTATCTCTGATTGAATGATAGCTTCCCGCAACACCATATGCTCATTACCGTTCGTATTGTAATGTTGCTACCGAGTTGAACGCATACATTGGGATATCTTCTCAAAGTGATATGATGATCATGAGTCACGCTGCCAAGACCATGTGATGGTGGTGTTTTTATTCTGATGTGTGCGTGTGATCAACAACGGGCACCGTTACAGGATTTGACATCAGCTTGGCAAGGAACAGAGACTGTCAAGTGCCGTGCGACGAATGAGATGACTATATCATATGAGGCTATATTGCGTGCCTAATATCTGGCAATGGTGATGGTAGAGAGCAACGAAGATGCCGGCGGTTTGGCGCAAACCTCGCGAATCGCCGTGACTATCGCGTCTGGGGACGTACACATGGCCCTTCACAGATTCCAGGTTCTTATTTGGTTCCTAGTTCAATAGTATCCTAATACTCGAACCACAATGCGTCCGATGTTGGTTGTTTCATGGAAATGCTGGAAGCTGGTGAAGCTTTTCTGTCGGCATCACAATATCAGAGACAGCAAGAAAGCCGGCTTTATCCAGGACCCTGCTCATTCTAGGACTCATGAGGACAGCCGACGCATAAAGATGCGGATGGCGCTGTTTGAATAATAAGGGACTGCCCGGATAGCAAAACAAGCGAGATCAGAAGTAGAATGATCTGCCTCGATCTTTTCAAACGCGTCGAAAAAAAGGCCATCGTTGAACCATATCTCCCCCGAGACAAACTCGTGTAAAGTCGCGACGCCGCCCTTGAACTTCCACAACTGCATGTTGGACTCCTCCCAATAGTAATATCCGCGACGATCATCCGGTCCCGCTTCAAGCACAAAATTTCCTAAGGCGCACCACGATGGGTCCCAGAAGAGGTGTGGTTCTTCGAGATGGAAGGTATACATGAACATGAAGATGAGACGGCCGTGATCGTAGAAGTCTCACAAGCCTGGCCCTCATTCGATGAATTCTCCAATTCGTTGACCACCCGGCTGGACAGAGCTCTCGGGGATTCCACTCCAGGGCTTGTTCCATCATCGGCTTCTGCCATGAATAGTGCCCGTACGATGCCTGCAGACACTGTTAGTTACTGCGAGTCTGACATAAAACTCAAATGACGGCGCACCAAAAGCTCTATCTGATCTTCGGTCAAAATCATGTTGTGAGGTTCGCAGGCGGTTGGTAGAATACTGTTGACAATGGGAGTGAGTCATTCGAATGACAGGAGTCCCGTGAATTTATACTTGCCCCGGCAGGCCGGACTTTTCGCGATTTGGGCGCCGATAAAGACCAGATCGCGGTACCCTATAACAACGTCCATTGCCGGTGCTCGATGGAGTAACTCCTAGAATATCGAGTAGTCGATCCAGAAAGAGTTAAGGATCGCGAGGACAACGCGAGGACTGAGGACTCGGAGCCTTATGTCGGCCTTCCCAGATGGACCTGCAGGCCGCACTAGATTGCTGACTAAATGCGACGCATAGCATCACTGCGACGCGCTTGAAGACTTTCTGTATTCATTCGCAAGTTAGCGGTAACAATAACAACATCATCATCCAGTTCATACCTAAGATAGCGACAAGAGGTAGTTCCGATGTCTGTTAGACGCCGTAAAGCTGTAGAGATAACAAAGGTTTTGCGGACGAAATGTAATGAGCCCAAGCTAGCCAGGAGGTCAGTTTGGTGTCACAGAGAGTAAAATAGATCCATGCACTGGTCAGTTTTTTTGGTCCCATCTCTGGTATACTTCCCCCTCCTGCTAGGAGGGATAGTGGGTAAACCTGTAGAACACGGCTCGGTCAGGGTCTACATAAACCGGCGAAGAAAACTATCTATCTTATGACAATATTGGTCATAATCAGATAACCATCGGCCAACGGCGAGAATGCCATTGCTATTGTGCCATACAAGGATCATTTAACAACCACTGCTCTGCCGGATAAAATAGGTCAGCAAAGGCTGAAAGTGCAAAAACGGTGCACGTACCATCTCTATCATGGAAGTAGTCTTTCTATACATCATATTGTCACGAAGCCGACTCGAGGGCGTGTCGCCCGTTCACCTCAAGATCGAACACAGACCTGCATATATGCGGCAGCAGCTCGTTGACGCAAGAACCAGCAGTCTGGTGGGTAACATCGATGCGTCGCCAGTCCCTTCGAGCCTGGGCCTGGACCTTTAGGGATTATGGGAAATTTGTCAATCCGTACACCGGCATATGCTAATCGAAGTGCTGCCCACATCCAAGCGACTCAAACGAGAATCTTGAGTACCAGTTAATTCTGAAAGGTCCCGTGCTCCATAACTTGACACGAGGCTAGTGACCACGGAGGCGGCAGGAACCTTGGCTCAGTGTAGGGCCCTTTTCCTTCCAGGACTGACGATGCTAGCTGATAATAAGACTACTCGATTAATCGGAGATTACTTAGATAGCAGATTGACGATAACGCACTGGCGGCACTAGGATCCTTCAAAGCTCCGAATTCTCTTGCGATAAGAGGCTTGCCAGGAGAAGCACTAAAATACATTAAGTGATGAAACAGAATAGAAAATACGACGTATCCAGGCACCTTTTCAGATTTGAAGAGAGCATTCAAATTCTAAAATTTCTCCGATAACCAGTCTTTCTGCCACGGAAAAACGTTAAGCTACAGCCAAAAATGAATTGAAGATAGCTCACAGTCATACAACTGCTCAGCGCTCAGCGTCGCCAGCGAGAGAACAAGATATGTCTGGCTTGAGATCACCATGAGCGTGTGTTTACGAGAAAAAGAGGCAGATATCGCACCATGATACTCAATGGTGGACTAAATCTTCTCAGGAGTCTTACAGTTATTGGATACCCTTCCTCTGTATCCCAAAATCCCTCGCAGAACCGTTGGAGGAACGCTCTTGTGATAGACATCGGGTTTGGACCGCGCCAACGGCAACGGAGAAAAGGAAGCAACAAAAAATCGTGAATGTCGTGTCACGATGTTGAAGATAGAGAAAGAAATAGTTGGCGGCGTATCTATTGCTATGTGACGCGTCGAAATGGCGGGGAGGTGGTGGTGTCCAACAAAGTTGCCGGCGGCTTCTACTGAACCACGGTCCATCTCACCGGGCCGTTCCTTTCCGATACTGACCATTTTACTTCTTATCTCCACGTGCATCGGCAACGATGGCACTTTGCAGACTCTAGGCTCCACTCCGTACTTGAATGCTGTCTGATGCAGTGTAGGCGACTCGAAAGCCAGCTGGTGATTTTTTTGCCGTGGAATTTGAGAGGGATCATCTGGTCCTGAACTTACGCTAGGTCGAGTCTGAAGCCGGAAAGGTCTCATGGGGATCATCAAGATATGGGAGCAATACAGCAGGAATATTAACGTCGATTGAATTGCTCCGGATGGTATCAGTATTTCGTACTGTATAACAACCTGATAAATCAAGCTTCCGCCCCTTTTTGCTTCAGTCCATCTCTAAGCGCCCGTATCTCCTCAGACCGCTTCCTCAGCTCCAACTGCTCCACACGAAACTCCACTGTAATAATCTCACGCGGAGTAACTGCCTCCAAAACACTATATATCCCATCATACCAAAACTTCGACTTCATAAACTCGTAATCTGAAGCGTATTCTCCCTTAAACTTTAAGAATACCGTCGAATAACGGTTAAAACAGTAGTACTCCCTTCCCGCACGAAGGATGAGCATGTGCCCACCCACCAACTGTTGAAATAATCCTAGTGGGTATGGAAGCACACGAGGGATCAGGGCACGAATACGGGATTGACGCAGTACATGAGCAGTGAGTACGTAGTCAATCGAGTAAAGAAGAGGAAAGCGTAGCTACGAAAATTTACCGGTACGTACACGTGACTGATTACCAATAGACACGCGAGCCACGAGCTCGATATCCAACACCAACTCAGTCTGGCAGAGGACAGGGATTACGGGTTTATCGATATCGTAGGTCTGGAGAAGGTGGACGGAAAGCCGGCCTCGGTCGTAGAAGCTCCTTCCTGGAAGGAAGAGAACGGAGACTGTTAGGACGTCCCATTCGGATGACCAGGCGGTTTGGTCGTGGTTGAAGGGGATCGTTAAATCAGAGTACCAGGTTTGCGTGAAATATTGTTTGCGCTGTTCCCAGGGGAAGATGTCGATGTGTCGAAGAAATAACCCAGAGTCGGTGTCGTTTCGTGAGGATGGTCGGATATTAACGAAGAGACGGCCCGGACGCCTTAACGCGACCCTGTACCTTTACTTCCTCCCATCATCACTGTCGCGGCTAGCATCAACCTAGACCATAGGCTTTGGCAATGATTAAAAGGCGACCACGCTGCTGATTACGGCGTTAAGCGGTCCTGATAGTATGTTCAAGCCTACCTTTTATCTATTTCTTGAGTTGATCGGAGATCCATTAGCTATAGCTCACGCCTTCCAGACAAGCGTATATGTGAGTGAAAACCAACGAAATCATCGACGAAAAGTAATTGCTACCTCCTTTCGGAGAAGACAAGCGAGGGTCATTAGCAATCACAGAGATAGGCGCTAGGACATTCTTTCCTTCTTAATACTTCATTAACATTGTTCGTAGAGGGACGGCTGTACCGAACGGTCGTCTAGCAAGAGCGGGAGATGATGTAGTCGATCCCGTGCTTCAAATACCGGAATTCCGCGATCATATGAGACATACGCCAGGCTTGTCTCAAGTGCCATACAACCCCTTCCTTCCTCTCACCATGTTCTTTCCCACCATCCTCGCCCTTCTCGCATCTTATGCTAGCGCACAATATGTTATCCCAATACCGATAGCAACAGATGACGGAAACAAAGGACACTTCTCAGCCAAAGCTGCCGGAATCGTCTTTGGCTGTGCGTTTTTACCGGCTTTTCCAGTTTTCGAAGCTTTCCTGACCCCTGGCAGGTATCTTTGGGTTATTGTTCTTGGGGTGCTTCTGCGATTGCATTTGGACGAAGCGGAGGATTCGAAGGGAGGCTCGGAGGCGGCGCGATTTAGAGGAGGTTGTGGGGGTTCCAGAGGCTGCTGTGCTGACGCAGAGCGTGAATGAAGGCCGTAAGGAGAGCGAGGCTGCAGATCGTAAGGACGGCATGGTCAGTTCTACCTCCTTCCAACATTTATTAATACTGACGATGTCCGTAGTCCATCATGACTATCAGTCCTCCTCCTCCAGCATACACCTCAAGTAATCACGGAAATTTTGGCCCTTTGATATAACTCGAAGCTCATTACAATCTCGTCTTAGGCTGATAACCAGACGAATAAGATACGAGCTTCCTACTGGCATTGTATGACCACCCGCCGAATGCAATTGAAGTACTAAATCTGTATCATATCACTGTATCTTATGAATGCACGATATCTGAATATTAGGATAATATCAAAAAGGGAATTTGGGAAGAGGCAGTCCAGGCGTGATAACAGAAAGCGGACGAAGAGCGGCAGAAGCCGGCGGCATCTCTATTGATCTCCTACTACCACCACGACCGTGACTTCAACACGTCAAACGGCGACGATTCCGTCGTCAGCCCTTTCTCGCTCCCTCTTGAACGCTGAGATGCCCACAAGTCTCCTCGCGTCGAATTCCCGGATGTTATTGGCGTGGTGGTACCCATCACGAGAATGTTCCATCAACGGGCCTGCGTCGAATCTAGAGTCCACAGAAGACTAGGATCCCCGTGCCAGCGAAGGCGCTGAGAAGGTTCAGTTGGGCGTTGAGTGGAAGGGTGCGGTATCTACGTTCTCGTCACGCCAAAACGCGCTCATTGTCATTTCATGGCTAGACCCATCTTGTTGGCGTGCAAGCGCTAGGCAGCCGTCCGACCGTGAGTCAAATTTCTCCCCATTTATGACCGTGTCTAATCTCTTTTCGTAAGAGCACACCCATGTACTGGAGAGAATCTCAACATACTTAGGCGTGGCCGATTGTCGCCATTCGCAGAATAGCACGGCTCCGATAGGCATCCGAAGAAGGGAAAGGATTTATCGCCTAGTCGAGGTCTTCATCCCGCTTTCTAGCGAATTCGACCTGAGGGTCTTTCAGCGCTCCTACCGACAAGCTTGTGGTTATGGGAGGAATTATATATCCACGGGGATGGCCAATATGCGTGGTAGGACCACTAGTGCGTGTCTTTATCCTGCTATCCGGACAATTCCTGACGAGTCAAACAGCGACATCCTTTCATCCATGCATTGGCTATTGTAGTCAGTCCTAGAATGAACATATGCCTGGAATCAAGGCTACTCTGCCGTCGCGCGCCAAGCTCCTTGGAACGCTCCTCCGTCATCGCTACCAACACTGCTAATTTCCGAATTCACTCGCACTCCAGGTTCTCCACTTGGATCACCTAGAGTGATGTCAATGTTCTGTCCGGCATGCGACCATGGATGGAATGCGAATCCCCTGTAATGGGCTCCCCCGGTGCCAAGAGGCAGGTGGCACATCGACGTTACGTGGGACCTTGCATCGAAGCATTACTGAAGAGTGCATGCCTGCCGCATATATGCAGGTTCAAGATTCGATCTCGGGCGAACGCGAGATGAAGACGTCAGCAAGCAGATACAACGCGCGGGATGGGTGCAGTGACAGGATCTGGGATAGAAACACCTTTTTCCATCATCGAGGTGGTACGTCCACCATTATTGGACTTTCAGGCTCGTGCTGACGTGAACCTGTTTTGGCCCGCGAAATAGTGGTCGAATGATCGTCGTACGACCTATTGCCTCAGCGATGACCTGCTCATTGCCCATTTATCGAAGGTTGTCATTAGGTGGATTGATTTATTCCTTTCTGTTTATATTAATGCTGAAGGAATCGTGCTTCAGCCTTCAGGGTTTGCCCGCTAGTACATCTTTGTTGGAGAGAGAAATATGTCGAACGAGACCGGAAAAGTGGGGTCCACAGAGGATCAGGAGGCGAGGTTCTTGTTAAGGTTTAATCGAGCGTGGCTTGCTTGACTTGCGGGTGCGGTATCTACTTTTTCGTCTTCGCAAAACTCGCTCACGGTAATCTCATAACCAGACCCATCTCGCACCCTGGTATGACCGTGAGTCAATTTCGCAGTGTTTATAGCTATATCTGTACCTGGTTTCTCCTAGGCAAGGATTTCAGCTTTGAATAGCAACCTCAGACGTCGCCAGGTATCATTCCGTGGCTTCAATGTACATTTGAGGAAGCGTGAAAACCTATTGACAGGTCCGGATCTCATGCTTGAGATATGAATTGGTTGTCTCCATGCCGCCTTGTATGGATTATCGCTTGACGGCCTCTTAGACGCTACCGGCCTGGCAGCCCATTGTTCCGGGGGAGACGGCGAATCGTCAAGGAATTTTGGCAAGTTGGGTAATACCAGTGCGTACTTTTGGTCCCGCCCCGCGCGAAAGATCTAATTCATTGAGCAGTATCATCTTCATCTTCATGCGTCGGCCACAGTGTTCTAGAATGAAGCTGACTTTCCCGCCACATCCACCATAGCCAGCTTCACGTCAAGCCTCATGGAGTGCGACTCCTCCACTACTACAGATATCATCTTCCAAGTTGCTAGATGCTTGACTCAAATCGCTTGAGCCAACTTCGATTGTCGGTCTTCCCGAAATGGGCTCCAGATGCCAAGAGATTGGCAGTGTCCTGATATTATGAGGTGAACTGTCACTCGACTCCGGTGTCGAAGGATTGCTTGAGTCTTGCCGCAATATGCAAGTCCAAGCTTCGTCCCTGAGGCGAACGCAAATCAAACAGGTCCTTAGCGGATACGATCTGTCCTCGGATCGCTTTCGTGACAGTGTGTTGCATAGAAAGACAGCTCTTTTCGTTACAAAGATGGTACGTTCGTCGTTGTTTCAATTTCAGGTTTGTCCTAACATATTTCAGCTCGCATAACAGCAGTCGAATAATCGTTGTACAACGCCGCGACGATGTTATAGGTGCGCCGCGATTTGGTCTTATTGACTCTCAAATCACGAAAGGTTCGACCTGCTGGGGTAAGTATAAATTCACGGGGCTTCCATTGTTCGAATGACTCATTCCCTTCTCCGCAGCGTTTCTACGAACCCCCACAAAACTCACAGCATGATTATAAACGAAGAAAGGATACAGCTTTTAGTGCGCCAACATTTGAGCTCCCAATTCTGTTCTTCTGTTGTTTCCGGTTTTCGGTCTACCTTTATGAGAAGTTCGTATTGGCCAGCTATAATAGAAACACCGTCTGTCGAGAGAGTTTCGGGTTCTGTAAGGGACATCATGGTGGGAAGGGAGGAGTTTTTATTCTGATTGGTATGAGACGAAGCGAAGAACAAGATTATAGAAGAATCCGATAGGTAGAGCACGCATGTTTTACGTTTGAAATGCAGGCTTGGGATCTACAAATTCACTTCCCACTTTACCGGTACAGCTGGCGGCTGCTTATTTTGACGCATTTTTTATTGCAGTAGTGTAACTTTGGACAGCGGAGTGAGGAGTAAAGGTATTTCCAAATAAATCATAAACATGTAATCATATCAATGTGAGAAACAGCAGTGGTTAAAGATCAGTGACAAAAAAAAAAGTTCAAGAATTCAATAAATTCACGTATGACATTCCCACCTGCCGCGGGAAGCATCCTAAAGAGCATCTTGGAGCGTGGCATTGTATTTGGGACAGAGCTTATCCCATTGATCTTCGGGGTTCGTAGGTCAGGATAATACCAGGACACAAGAGGAAGAGGACATACCGGTAGGGTGGATGGTAGAGTTCCACCTTTCCGCAGCCTCAGCAAAAACAATTGCGAATCCACTATCAGAGATGTCATTAGAAGCTCAGCAGACCTGGGAAAGTGAATACGCACGCATCCAAGTGCCATTCAATATGGCTACAGAGAGATGTTAGCTCATTATCGATCTACAGTCGTAAAAGACACTGACCAATGAAGGAACCACGGTCCAGGGTTGTCGGTGGTGAACCGAATCGTAACATTGTCACCCGCACCACCGATGTTTACTACGTCCCTTCTCACAGGATTCTCGTAGTTGTACACATGACTACCGGCGCTTCGGACGACATCAAAGTTGTGCTAATCATAATAAATTTTTGAGATGGAGAAACTAACAATATTTATATGAAAACGTACGCCGTGCAAATGTAACGGATGCTAGTATTAATGAGATCAGACGACATAGTCCATAAGTATGAAAAGACTCACCCCTCCCCCAGGGACACCTCCCGGCATAGAAATTTCAACCGTGGAATGTAATGGAAGAGAGTAAACGGAGCCATTGGGAAGCAGGTCATGAGGACCCTGTGCACCGCTTAAAATCTGCAAAAGAACCGGAACCGGCGGGGGAATAAACGAGATGCCGTTAACTGTGAACCTTCCGGTGCCTGCCTGTATGACTACAATCAGAAACGATGATGAGATGAGGGGGAGGAGAGAAGACATACAGGAAAATCGAAGGCTAGGTTAAGCGCAACGTCGACACCTCCGGGTTCAGGGGATCCGGGCTACTGAAGGTCAGACCATGGATAAGTGTCAGTGAAGGTATATGGAACGTACTGCTCCAGGATTCTCGAGGGGCTTCCAGGAGACGTTCGTCAGTTTTGGTGAAAATCTTGGGCAAAATTAAAGGACTTACCACCAGCTGGGTTTCATTCATTCTCAGTACACTGGTGAAATTCATGGAAGCAGGTTCTTCATCAGCGGCACCATCGTATCGAAGGATGGCAGAGTTGATACCACCTTCGAAACCCGCCTGCCCGACACTGGTATTGGCATGGATCCCTTACGATATCAGTGTCAAGGAATGGTCTATGGTGGTTGAAAAGGAGAGACGTACAGTAGTTTCCAATCTCTTGGTTCGCGTTCAACTAGGACATATATCAGCAACTCCATGAAGCTTCCAAAAAGAAGCTAAAACGTACAACAAACGAGTATCGTTGAGCTAAAGAGCGGTTAGTTCGCGTTCATTTCTAGAAGACAGTGAAGAACATACCGGCAAAGATCTGAATTTCATCTACAGTGTATGGAACATGGTTCACACCATCAACTTCGATAATTGTCCTGGGCATCACCGGTAAATAAAAGAATCATCGAAAAAAGAGTGTAGTAATCACATCGTGTGGTTAGCAATAGTGAAATTGAACGCCGCATCGCACCCAACGTTGATCATTCGAATGCGATACCTACATCGTACTCGTCAGAGGAACATGGAAGGACGCACAGGGAAGACACGTACCGTGTTCCCTTCTTGACCTTCACAACAGCTAAATCACTTGTAGCGTTTCCACTCCACCTAAGTTACCAATTAATGTCCTCTGCCAGACGCTGAACGTGAAATTAACATACCGTCCCAAGCCATTGATAAGTGTAGAATCCGGAGTGCTACGAGTTGATTATCAGACATGTTCACATAATATAACAGAAAAATAAGATTACGGAAAAGTTAAATTTGCCGCGGTTGTATGGTACCAGTCCGACAACGTCAAGATGCTAGTACTCTCTGTGGCGGAGTCATTATACGGTACAAGCAATAAGGCGCGTCATCATACCATCATCAACATCATACAGGTGGGCATGTGGATCGTGGGGGTCGTAGATGATTAAAGGCCCACGAAGCCCGTCACAGTATTGAGTAGCTAGAGCGATCAATATCATCTTCCGGGACAAGTGTAATAAAGAAGAAAATTCCTACCCAAATGAGAGTGGTACCAGTACGTTCCAGCTTGGTTGGCAGAATCAAAAGTGTAGAGAAAAGAATCTCCTGTCACGATAGGGCACTGTGTTTTGATTAGTAACGATGGTCACTGGTAGAAATCACTCGATACTACCTGGCTTACGAAAGCGGGACCGTCGGCCCACGCAGTTCCCTTCTGGAAAAGGCCATGCCAGTGCTAGAGTAAGGCATGAGATGAGGAGATGTAGCAGGAGAGAACCAACGTACGATAGATGTGCTTTGTAGATACGTATTGTTGTCGAGTTCGTTGACGACGTTGATTCGGAATTTATCGCCCTGAACACAACACTCGTAAATGGCATCATGGAAGGACGGATAAGAGAGCAACCTTGTTTCCTCTGATGAGCGTGCGATCTATTTGTGAGTTCGCCAATGCGGCATAGCGTTGAACGCCATCGGGACTGACTTTCCCGTTGGAGACGACGAGGTCGCCCACAGGACCGATAGTTCCCTGTCGTTGTCCGCAAGAGCTAGGGAGAACGAGGGCAAGAGCCAGCAGGGAAAAGAGATAGAAGGCCATGTCGACTTGTAGAGCAAGACAGACCTCCGAACTCACTTTATATCTGTGTTGAAACGTATACGAGTGCCAAGACTCGGATGAGAGCTTTCCACAGAATCTATTGAACAAGCTAGGATATCATGTTCGTGACAACTAGCGCCTGTGACATTTAGAGATCCGTTGATAAACATGAGAAACATATTACTGTTGTACCTCACTAGACCTCACAGTCGATACGGTCTGCATAAAATTGCCTCAAGTAGGTCACGACAAAAGGGGCTGATCTGAAGTAATTGTATAACGCATGGATTAATTAAGAGCTGTTCGCGCTAGAGGCACTGTCGTCATTAGTCATGTAGAAAGGTACAGAGCTATGAGATGATGTCCGTACCTTTACAGTGAGCACGAAACAAGTTCATTGGTGGTCATCAGAGCCAAATTGACGTCATGAGTGTTGATACTAGTTGAGCTAAGTTCTTCCAGAATCATAATCTGAAGACTGTAAACAAAGCCATTAGGAAGAGATTTATTCCGAGACATACACGTATCCCTGCAGCGTTTATGTTCTCACATTGAGGTGGAATGGATCTTCAAGGTGTAGGTTCCCATGAGAGCTTCTAGTGACCGGCACGGATGCTAGGAGCACGCGTTTATCGCTCCGGCAACTAAAAAATTAGATTACACCAGAACAAATCGAGAAATAGACCTGGACGAGCGCTCGTGCAGCTGTTCTAGATGTGAAGGTAGGAGGATTTAAGCCTCTGGAGCAACACGGCCGGGTGAAATATGCGAAAACCATTGAGGTATCAATGCTTAAATCCGAAACGTTCAATGTTACGCGTGCACTTTAAACATACCGATCAAGAGAAGCTTGGCATCATCCACATGTGTGCGTAGAGTACACTGGTGGCACCGTTCTCAATTGAAAGCTAGTGTACGCCCTCTACACTGGTCCAATCGCACAATAGCATGGACATGTTAAAACCTGCACCTCACCCTGTTAGAAGTCAGTAGAGGCGACTTTAGAAATAGGCGTACATGAACTTACTATGAAAATTTAAAAATCGTCTCAGGGAGGAGTAGCTGCACAACTTCAATCAAAGCTGAACGTTGAACCCCCTCATGGTAGGCTCTTCGGCCAAACCGCTACTCCAGGTTTGAGTTCCAGCCGAGGCGTCAAGATCCAGACTTTAGCGGGATCATTGGTCTAGAAGATCCGTATAAGTGTAGCAAGTGAGTAATACTGGACTCGGTATGAGAAACATCAGGGTACCATGATAATGCCGCGAACTTCGGCCTTCATTGATCAGCAATTCTTGGCAAAGCAGACATGGCAGTGGGACATCACATTTTGAACAAATCATACGAGTCTAGTTTGATGAAATGTATTGGGTTGAAACCTGTAAAAGCCGAGAAGGGAAGGACGTGCGTCGGTGCCGTCGCGTAAGGAGACAAAAAGGAGGCGTTGTTTGTTCTTATTTCCTGATCAATGGAGACGCGTCACTTATGTAAGCAAACGCGCTTGTCCTCACCGATCTGCCCCGGTCAGACAATGGAAGTGCTTGCAGCTTTAAGTTTTCGTTTATTCCCGGGGTAACTGCTAACAAAGCACAGTATATCTCTAGCGAACTTCAAAATAGTACACCACCGACAGAGCGAGATTCAGTAGAATGGGGCCTTGTATCTGTGTCTGTCCTCCGAAAAGGACAGTAAGATGAATAAGACTCATTCACTTGACTGATATCGGGTATGTACCGGAGTTACATCCATCAAAATGGAGATACTACCGCATGCTTAACGATCTAGAATGTCATGATTCAAGGTCCTCGTCGGCCCCAGCAGCTATGCATGGCACAAGGGAAATGCAATGTTTACATATCCATCTTGAGTGATATCTTTGTCACAATGATGCCTTCATCATGAACTGTAAGCGCTTTCGTGTCGTCCGGATGACTCTTTCCGATTCTTACGGACATTGAAAGGCATGCATAGCATTCATACCTATTAAATGCACGGTGTTTTTATGCCGCAACCCAACGAGAGAGCATCTCGGAGGAAGGAGGGATGTGCTGAAAGTAAGCGCCTTTTTAACGTCTTGTTTATTCATCGTAAAACATTTCATAGGACCGTATCAATACCGACCTCCTTTTTGCGCCAGGATATGGGAAGGATGTACTATCCGTATGTCAGGGCAAGCCACTGTCGTTTATATCTTATACAGAAACTAATGGTGCGACGATAACCCCTAGGACGCTCTACTGCCCTCGCTCATAGTCCATGAAAAGGGACGATGAAATGTTCCGATGCAAAGAACTCTGTGCGATTACATCCCTCGAACCAGAATGTACAGAATGCCTGTGGACGTGCTCGCGAGTCAGTACAGCTATCTGTCATGGAATTTCCAGACCATGAGCAGATTATGTGCAGATCTCCTGTAGCTCTAGCAATTTCTCCGCAAGATTTTACAGGAAAAGGTGAAGTTATTCCCCATATTTTCATTACCCGTACTAATTACACTCTGTAGACACACCTGGCGAGCATGCCGTGAAGTAATTGGAACCCATTGGTACAGCAAGCCCAGACGTCGGTCTACTAGTGGGTATACGCATCGCAAGAACCATGTTATTCTTAAATCCTGGACTCCAGCCGAACGTCACCATAATCAAATGCCACACCTATGGCGCATACACTTTAGTCCCTTCACTGCAGCCACATTCTTGGAGCTTTACACGCGCGATGTCTATTAGTACCTCCAATTCGCAGATGGATAGTACTCATCGGGAGAAAAATCGGAGGATCACAGCGGTTCGGATAGCTGAGATCAGGTTCTCTTCTCCCCCTGCCATCAAAGTAAGTAATTACCACGCTCACGCAATGCCAGATATCCTCTTATTCCCATGAATTGGTCGACGGCATCATCGACGAGCTCTATAAAGACTAGCCAGGCGGTGTAGGCCATTCACGAAGCGTTCTCAAGTCCTGCCGTCTAGTCTGTAAACTCTCCATTCCCAGAACTATACAGCCTCTCCTGCGGCACATTACAATCAGCTCGAAATTTGGATCGCCAGCGTAAAGAATTATTTGCGCTATGACATTCCTCCTGGCACGTTTCCTTCCCGACAACCCTAACCATTGTTTGGACTGTTCGCCATCCTCTGGTGCATACGATGTCTACCAGGTCCGATTTTCATGCTGTACTTCGCATCATTTCTAATCTCAAGGAAATCAAACGCTCTGTGATGGACTGGAGATCGTTATCTCAGAGATTCATTGATTCTCTCGCGTCCCGTTCCTTCCGAACCATCACCACACTTCACTAATTCCACCCCTTTCTATTCCTTCCTATCTCACTGGCCCGACCTTTATCAGATCTCTGACTCTATGACAACTATCAATAACAACGACTTCCCATCGTTCAGCGCTTATTTCGATGCTTCTTATCGACCACGCATCGCCAGGGTGTCTCTATGAAACGAGGCAGATACCAGAGATCGCATTATCACCCACTCTCGCCCCGCTGAATTTGTCCAGGCTGCGTGTTCTCTACGTGTTGCTAGAAGAGGAACCTCACGGCGCTTAATGGATTTGATATTCATTCGCTTGAAGTCTCACAATTTCGAATGCAACCAGTAGGTATTACGTGTTCGTTTTCTCCGGGATGACCGGACTTGCCGATGATATCTCTACAGACTGATTCGATAATTTTCCATTCAACACTTGAAATCTACCGTGATATAGTATTACACTAGTCGCGTGATTCAAGCATCTTTCACTGGTGGATCAAGCATGTCAGGAGCTACCCTGCTGTGCACCGCTCTAGTGTGTAATTCCTCTTTCACGGGTCCACATGCAGTGTTCGAGCGGAGGCGGACTACACTGCTTGCAGAGTCCTTGACGATAGCCTGTCTCGCACATCCGTCCGCTCATTCATGGTTGACATTTTCGTCAGCAAGGCGTCTCTGCGTCTCTCATTGAAGATCCCGTAATGAGATTTCGGTCGAAGGTGCTATCGAGCGAAGTCTTCCAACTTTGATGAGTCGCAAGGTTTCCAAGTTCAAATTATGTGCGATGGTATGCAAGCTGTTTGTTAATTGAGTTGCGTCAACTGAATTTCCCTAGATTTCGTAGATAATAAAGTGTCTAATCAACTAACCGGGTCAGAGTCAGAGCCCCATATCCGTTAGCGCGAGTTCGAGTTGTATTCAAGTATTTTCTTGTTTACCGCCATGATGCTAATCTATATTTGTTGCGTTGAACTTGATGAAGTCCCTCAATATCCGTGGCCTATCTTGTGAGTCGACACTTTCATGATTCCTGTCGGCGGAGTCTGCTTTCGGTCAACACATGGCATAGCCTAGGATCATCAAGCTTCGAGTGCGGCCCGGTTGCTTGGTCACCACGTGTACTTTAGGGCAGGGCTTGTTCCAACGAAAAACAAATTTACCACTATCGTCTGTATCTGCCCGCGCCTATCACTACTTCTTTCTTGGACCTAGCGTGACATTCATCATAAGCATTGTCTGAATCTGATACTCAAGGCTTCCTCTTCCATATTAGAACGATGCAACATATGGCCGTAGGTCTCGTTTTATTCTTTTGATATGCTATGTATAACATGGCATTATCCAGGATGTCCAACCGGCAGCACCCGATCTATCGTTACAGATAGTGGAAAGTACTTATCGTGCTAACACAACCAAAGAGGTAACTATGTTCTTGGTGAACGATATTCCTATTGCTTCTCTGCTCTCCAGACGACTTTCAACTCCCTTCCACAAGAACACGTTGACGCCATCATCGACGAGATACACAATGACTCTGACCTAGGGACCGCCCGCCGTACCCTCAAATCCTGTGCCCTCGTCAGCCGGATATTCGTCCGCAGAACTCGAAAGCACCTATTCGGCCATCTCAGCATTCGGTCGATTCGCGAGTGTCAAAGATTCCTTGCCTGCCCCCAAGTCCATTCATTCACCACATCCCTCACCATTATCTTTCAGCGTCGGTATCCCAATGATGAAGGATATCCCATAATGCCAACTCTAACAGCGCTTCCTTCTCTTGTTGACGCGCTTCATAACGTCAATACTATCAAGCTCTGCGGGATGGACTGGAAATCCCTATCTCAGCGATTCGTTGACTCCCTGGCATCACGTTCCTTCGCCTCCGTCACTCTTATTCTCACACGTTTTCCCGATTCCAAAGCTCTCTACTCATTCCTATCCCACTCACCCAACCTCCGCCAGTTCTCCTGCTTCGGGACGACCATCGATAATGGCGACAATTCTCCGTTCAGCGCTAGTTTCGATGCTTCTCATCGGCCGCGTATCACTGAGCTGCGTCTCCGGAAAATGAATCAGATACCAGATATGCTGTTGTCGCCTGCTCTCTCCTCTGTGAATCTGCAGAGCCTGCGTATTCTTGAAGTGGTCATAGACGGAATTGGCGAATTTGATCAAGCGCGGCGACTGATGAACCTGACTGTGCATTCTCTCGAGGTTCTTCGCGTCTCTTATTTAATGAAACGACCAGCAGGTATTACGTCCTCTTCGGGATGATCACCCGCTGATGATATCTTCGCAGATCCGTCCGATTATCTCCCCATTGAACGCTTGCAAAAGTTGCAATCTATCATAATCGACATACGTCTTTATGGCTTAGGTATCTTCCAGTGGTGGATTGAACATTTCGAGAGGTACCCGACTATGCAGTGCTCTTGCGTACACCTCTTTGTTGTTGACACATTAGCAGACGGCGCTGATTGGAAGAGATTGGATACTGCTCTGTCTCGGACTTCCATCCGCTCGCTTGTTGTTACTGTCTTCATGACATCAGCCTCGACGCAATCCATGATAAAATCTGCCATCGAAAAAAATCTTCCTATTTTGATGAGTTGCCAGATTGCGCGTGTTCAGCCGGCAATGCACAACTTTCGTATGCGAGCTATTCATATTGCTGAATGTGACAACTGACTGATTCCTGCCTTTCATAGATGTTCTAGTCGGAAATTTTAATACAGACTAAGGGAATATGTTGAGCCTTACCTTGTGTCTGAGTATTCGCATATGTATCTATACTTTTCCAAGAGGATTCAAGAAGGGATCGGCAATACGGGCTGGACCTTTACGCCGTGTCCATGTTGAATCCACGTTGCACAACGCCTTTCTCACTTGAACATTAACCATCACCTGAAGTAGCAGTAGAGTGCGAAACTCACCCCCACTGTGTAAAGATCAACTTTGTCTGTCGCTTGTTCCAAAATAGTGAGCGGTGTCTTCGGGGCATATAAGGATTAGGCACCTTCTGATGTTCCAGACTTTACTAGTTGCTATTACTCATGGAGAAGCTGGCGACACAAATGATGCATCAATCGCATTATGCGTCATCTTAGCCATGACGATTCAGCACCCAGACTGTGATGATCTTCCGCTGATTCCTATCAACTTGTGCGCCGACGATGTGCTACTAATTTTGAGCAGCATGGATGTCTTGTGCTCTTTGCGAAAGAGCGAGGGCTAGGTTGACCCTAACCGCGATGATGACGGAAGGAAGTAGAAGTGCAGGGTCATGTCAAGCTGTCTGCGCTGGCTCTTCCTTGAAATCACGAGACGATATGCATTATTGCAGTTTCTGTATTGTCTCTTCAGCATAGCTCTTTGATAGTATCCATTCCTGACCAAGCTCAAATCTTCCACCGTTGAGGATCGTAACCAGGAAGAAAACGCTCCTAGCTGTGGGCAACAGACATTTTCATCTTAAAATGATTGAGATCCATCGTCCTGTCGAACGAGGCGAATGCCGGCTATATATACCCTTTAGGCGTATCATAAGAATGGCTCAACGGAAACTCACGTTCTCAACGCGTTGCATTAATATCTGTGGCGAAATTTCCAACTGAACTCTATTTCTCTGCATTGGTAAAGTTATACGCACCTCTCCCTACTAGCCACACAGCACTTTCTCAAACACATCGTCAATATCAGAAGCTGTCATGTTATCATGCCGCCGTCCAAGTTCACGCCTTCTCTTGAAGAATTGGTAAGCGGTGATCGTATATAATTGAGTAGAGAATATTTAATGAGATTCATAGCCTGGTATTCCAAACTGACTATCCCCCTCAACCCCCACCAAATCGTCTGGTCGTCCAACTAGGACGTCTTGTCGGTTTCCATCCTGTTCCTTCCTGGACGGAGCTCCTACGACCATGGACGCCTTCTCGAGACCGAGCTCTCCGTATATCATTAACACTAGCAGTCATCGGTTGACGAATTTGATACCTTGCTTTGGCGGTTGTCAAAGAGGGTCTTCAACTTCAAATATATATTCAACCAGCAGTACATTTATATTAAGTAGACTGGAGATTGTTATCTGAGATTCATTGATTCTCTAACATCTCAGATTCCAGGGCTTTCTATTCCTTCCTATCTCCCTCGCCAGACCTTTGTCAGATCTATGACCATCGATCGCGACCAACCCCTGTTCAGTGCTAATTTGGATACCTCTTGTCGACCACGCATCACTCTGTCTTTCCGTAAAATGCAAGTAAAATGATGCAGATCCCAGAGATAATCTTGTCGCCCCTGCTGAATTTGTCCAGACTGCGTGGTCCCTACGTGCTGCTACATGCGGAACACCCCTTTGATCTGGCGCTTAACAGACCTGCCGTTCAACACAATGTAGGGAATCCGGCCCGGTCCACCCCATGACCGCTTGTACTTTAGGGCAGGGTTCATACCATTTACTCAAACTGAAATTCTACCGCACACGCCTATCATTCCATTTCTCCCTCTTGGACCTAGCGATAAGGACACAGAATAAGCGCACTCTAAATCTGATACTCAAGGCCGCCAGTGCCATCTCAGAACAATGCAACGCATGACCGTATGTCTCGTTCTAGGGCTCTTATGTATGACATGACATTCTCCAGGAAGCCATAAGGAACTTAATCCAAATGGCAGCACCCGGTTTATCTGTCCAGATAGCGAAATATGCTTATCTTTCTAACACTACCAGCAAGGTAACTACATTCATGATGAACGATATTCTTATCGCTGATCTGCTCTCTAGATATACTCCCTCCCGCAAGAACTCATTGACGCCATCATCGATGAGATATATAACAACTCCGACACAAAGACCGCACGGCGCATCCTCAAATCGTGCAGCCTCATCAGCAGGATCTTCCTCCGCAGAGCACGAGAGCACCTATTCCGCCACATCACGATTCGGTCGATCTCTGAGTGTCAAAAATTCCTTACCCTCTTCCGAGTCCACTCGTTCACCACATCCCTCACCATCATATTCCAGAGTCCTTGGCCCCACGTTAGAGGCTACGAAACGATATCCACCTTAACGGAGCTTCCTTCACTTATTGACGTGCTCCACAACGTCAATACTATCAAGCTCTGCGGGATGGACTGGAAATCCATATCTCAGCGATTCATTGATTCCCTGGCATCACGGCCCTTCGTGTCCATCACCCTTATGCACACGCATTTTCCCGATTCCAACGCTTTCTACTCTTTCCTATCTCACTCACCCAATCTGAGTCAGTTCTCCTGCTTCAAAACGACCATCGATAGTAATGATCGTCCTCCCTTCGGCGCTGGTTTCGATGCTTCTCATCGGCCGCGTATCACCGAGCTGTCTCTCCGTAAAATGAGTCAGATACCAGCTATACTGTCAACACCTGCTCTCTCCCCTGTCAATCTGGGCCGACTGCGTGTTCTTGACGTATTCCTAGAGGAAGCTGGCCAGTTTGATCAGGCGCGTCGACTGATGAACCTGACTGCGCATTCTCTCGAGGTTCTTCGCGTCTCTCAATTGTTAACACGACCAGCAGGTATTACATGCTCTCTTTCTTCGGGACGAACATCAGCTGATGATATCCTTCCAGATCGGTCCCAGTATCTCCCCATTGAACGCTTGAAATCTATCGTCATCGAGACAAATGATTCTCGCCTAAGGCAAGATGTCTTCGACTGGTGGATCGAACATTTTGAGAGGTCCCCAACTATGCAATGCTCTTGTGTGCACCTCTTTGTCTGCGTAGCCAAATGTCAACTTAGCACAGTAGTGGACTACACTGGTTGGAAGAGATTGGATATTGCTCTATCTCGCACCTCCCTCCGCTCGCTCGCTGTCACTGTCTTCATGATAAGTGCCAAGACACTATTTTCGAAACATTCCCACATCAAATCCGTTATTGAGGAAAATCTCCCTATTTTGATTAGCCGCGGGATTGCGCGCGTTCATGTTGATTTGTACAAGAAACGTAAGCGAGCTGTTTATATATATATATACTCAACTGACTGGCTCCTCCTGGCTTTCGTAGCAGCTGTAGGAGGAAATTTTCTTATACACTAAGGAAAGACATTGAGCCATATCTTGCGTCTGAGTGTTATGGATATCCGTAGTTAGAGCCCGCACTTGCCCTTTCGGATATCGGCCCGATCCACCACGCAGATTCTCTCTCCTTCGTCGCTACTTTCTACGTACTTCTTTTTCTTTCTTTAACTCTCTGGTTACTTCTAAATACTAAAACAACTAGCATATTCTATATATACTTCGAGAACTCCAGTAGATAGAATCATCCAAATTATCACTGAGTTTTTTACTCATTTCAAGTGAATCTAAGTTAGTGAGAAGGTTACGCTGAATGCTTGTCTTCGCTCTTTCGGATCCTTTCTCGATAAAAGAACTCGTTTCCTATTGATCTTGTGCACAAGTACTATCGTAGCTATATTCTACGTGACGTATTGTTAGCTAGATCATAACACTGAGTATACGTGTTGGAACTGTATCGCTACTTCCAAGAGAGGGAATAGGGAATTGCTAGGGATAGTCGCGGATGTAGCTACGGGCAAGCGAGAAACTACAGATCTCGTACATCCTATTTTATTCTCGTAACAATAAAGTTCCAGGAAGGATCGGCAATCCGGGCCGGACATTTAGGGTACCGGTATCCATGTTGAATCCACGTTGCACAACGCCTTTCTCACTTGAACCATCACTTGAAGTAGCAGCAGAGTGACCGGCTCGCTCCAGCTCACCCCCACTGTGTAAAGATCAACTTCGTCTCTCGCTTGTTCCAAAATAGTGCGCGGTGTCTTCGGAACATATAAGGATTAGGCGCCCTCTGATGCTTGAGACTGTACTATTACTCATGGAGAAGCTGGCGACACAAATTATGCATCAATCGCATTGTGCGTCATTTTAGCCAAGCACCGAGGTCGTAAGGATCCTCCACTGATTTCTATCAACATGTGCGGCGAATCGTTCAAATAAAAATTTTACCATTATTGTCTGTATCTACCCACGCTTATCATTTCATTTTTCCTTTTTGGATCTAGCGGGAAGACCACAACATAAGCGCGTTCTGAAGATACTCAAGACTGCCATATTAGACCGATGCAACATATGACCGCGCGTCGTGCATTCAAAGAGATGAAGAACGACACAAGCCTTCCGGCTCTTCCACAGCCTTCTTTTCTCACAACGTTAGTTCAGTCGATTACTTTTATTCCCTCGCCGCATACGATGTCCACCAGAACGGATTTCCCTTCTCGACGTCACATATAATCGAAATCAAGCTCTCTGGGATGGACTGAAGATTGTTATCTCAGAGATTTATTGATTCTCGCATCGCATTCTTTCCGATCCATCACCCTAGAGCACAATCATTTCCTGATTCTAACCCTTCCTATCTCGCTCGCCCAAATCTCCTGCTTCATGATGACCATCAATAACAACGACCGTCCGTCATTCAGCGCTTATTTCGATGCTTCTTGTCGACCATGCATTACCGATCTGTTTCTCCATAAAACGAGGCAGACACCGGAGATCGTTCTGTCACTCACTTCTCTCTTGACTGAAGTCGTTCAGGCTGCGTGTTCTTTACGTGTTTCTAGAGGAGGAACACCACGGCGCTTATCATGCACCCGCTTGAGGTCTCACACTTTCAAACGCCCATTACGTGTCCGCTTTCTCCGGGATGGTCACCTGCTGATGATATCTCGACAGACCGGTCCGAGTATCTTTCTATTCAAAACTCGAAACAAAGTATCTTCGATTGGTGGATCGGGCATATCGAGAGCTACCCTGTCATGCGATGCTCTTCCTCATCTACGCATCCAGATACAACTTTCGAGCCGAGACGAACTACGCTGCCTGAAGGGACCTTGATTGTATTCTGTCCCGCACCTCGTTCGCTGTTGATATCTCCGCCACCAGGTCCTCAGTCATTGAAGAGCCCTCAAACCAGATTTCACCCCCCACTCGCTATCTTCCTGCCTTGATGAGTCCCATGGTTTCCGCGTTCAAATTGACATGTACAATGGTATGCGAGCTGTTTCGTGCTGTCGACTGACATTCCTTGGCTTTCCTAGATAATTGATGAAACTCTCTCGGCAACTAACCGGGTCAGAGATGGAGCCACTGTGCAAATTACACACGGGTTCGAGTAACTTCATTTCGATCCTACCCTCTCATGCACACACTCCACTGATCCTATATGTCTCGCCTGACCTTTATCAGATCTTCTACTTCATGAATCGACAACAATAGCCACCCTCCGTTCAGCGTTAATTTTGATACTTCTCATCAGCTACACATCACCGATCTGTCTCTCCGCAAAATGGGGACCCTGCCGAATTTTCCCAGACTGCGTGTTCTCGTAGAGGGGGAATACCACTTTGATCTGGCATTGCGCTTAATGGACTTGACTATGCAATCCCTCGACGTCTCACAATTTCAAGCGCCGCCAGTCACTTTTCCCTGGACGATCACCCACCGATGATGTCTCGATAGACCAGTCATCGGTCCGAGTGTTTCCCATTCAATGCTTGAAAGATATCTCCATCGGGGTCACGGATTATAACCTTGGTGGTATTAATTTACGTATTGAGCTCAGTGAATCGGGCATTTCGAGATCTATTCCATTATATTACCTGCACTTCCTCCAATCTACATCTGTTTGGTCGACCTTGACATTATGCCTCAATCTCTGTGTGTCGATACCTTTATTGTTCCTGTTGGCAAGGAGAACCGATTATGCAAGCAGTTCAACACAGCCTGTCGCTCTTTCACCACGTGCACTTTAGGGCAGGCAAGTTCGTCCCATTTACTCAAACTAAAATTTTCCCATACTTGTCTGCATCTGCCTGGACCTTTTTCCCTCTTGAACCTACAAGAAGACCACAAAATAAGTTCGCTCGCCCAAAGCTGCCATCTTGGAATGGCGGTGCGTCTCATTCTAGAGTTCTTTCGTACTATGTATAACATGATATTCTCCAGGATCATGCTGTAATTCAAATGGCAGCACCAGATCTCTCGTTACAGATATCTGAAAATGCTTATCGTGCTAACACTATCAACAAACAAGGTAACTACATTCATGGTGAATGATATTCCTATCGCTGATCTGCTGTCGAGATATACTCCCTTCCACAAGAACTCATTGACGCCATCATCGACGAGATACATAACGACTCTGACCCAAAGACCGTCCAGCGCACCCTGAAATTGTGCAACCTCATCGGCAGGATCTTTGTCCGCAGAACACGAGAGCACCTATTCCGCCACATCACGATTCGGTCGATTCCCGAATGTCAAAAACTCCTTGCCCTATCCCAAGTCCACTCATTGACCACATCCCTCAGCATCATATTCCAGAGTCCTGTGCCCGGCGGCAGAGGCTGTCAAACAATATCCACTTTGACCGAGCTTCCTTCTCTTATTGATGTGCTCCATAACGTCAATACCATCAGGCTCTGCGATGTGGACTGGAAATCCCTATCTCAGCGATTCATTGATTCCCTGGCATCGCGGTCCTTCGTGTCCATCACCCTTATGTACACACATTTTCCCGATTCCAACGCTTTCTACTCTTTCCTATCTCACTCACCCAACCTCCGCCAGTTCTCCTGTTTCAAGACGACCATCGATAGCAATGATCGTCCTCCCTTCGGCGCTTCTCATCGGCCATGTATCACCGAGCTGTCTCTCCGGAAAATGTATCAGATACCAGCTATGCTATTGTCGCCTGCCCTCTCCCCTATGAATCTGCAGAGCCTGCGAGTTCTCGACGTGTTCCTAGACGAAGTTGGCCAATTTGAGCAGGCGCATCGACTGATGAACCTAACTGCGCATTCTCTCGAAGTTCTTCGCGTCTCTCAATTGTTAACACGACCAGAAGGTATTGTGTGCCATCTTTCTTCGGGACGAACATTAGCTGATGATATCCTTACAGATCGATTGCAGTATCTCCCCATTGAACGTTTGAAGTCTATCATGATTGAGACATATGATTTTCACCTAGCTGTCTTCGACTGGTGGATCGAACATTTCGAGAAGCACCCAGCCATGCAATGCTCTTGTATGCACCTCTTTGTCTGCGTACTCACCAATCAGGTTCGCACATTAGCAAACTACGCTGGTTGGAAGAGATTGGATATCGCTCTATCTCGGACTTCCATCCGCTCGCTTGTTGTTATACTCTTCGCGACAAGTGATATAATACTATTCAAGAAGCAAAACGCAATGAAATCTGCAGTCGAGGACAATCTCCCTATCTTGATGAGCCGTAGGATCGCGCGTGTTCATGTCGATTTGTACAAGAAGCGTAAGCGAGCTATTTGTATATATACTCACCTGACTGACTCCTCCCGGCTTTCGTAGCAGCTGTAGGCGGAAATTTCCTTCTAAACTAAGGGACAATGTTGAGTATTATATTGCGTCTCAGTATTCGCATATGTATCTATAAATTTCTGAGAGGATCCAAAGGGTTCGGCAATCTGGGCCGGACCTTTAGTTTAACCACATCCACGTTGAATCCACGTTGCACAACACCTTTCTCACTTACCCCATCAACAGCAGAGTGCCTAAATCATCCCGGCTCACCGCCCACCGTGCGAAGTTCAGCTTCAACGACTCTTGCTTGTTCCAAGTATGCGCGGCGTCCTCGGAACATAGAAGGATTAGGCGCCCTTTGATGCTCGAGGCTTTAGTATTACTCATGGAGGCGTTGGCGACACAAATGATGCAATATCAACTGCATTGATCGTGCGCCCAGACCGTGAGGATCTCCCTCTGATTTCTATCGGTTTGTGAGGCGAGTCGTTGGAACGAAATTTTTACCACTATTGCCTGTATCTACCCGCGCCTATCATTTCATTTTTCCCTCTTGGACTTAGCGAGAAGACCACAACATAAGCGCGTTCTGACGATAGGCCGTGCGTGTTACATTCACAGAGAGGAATTACTCTTATTCCCTCGCCGGAATTGCAAGGGTATGTCTATATGTCCCTCCAGCTTTTCATTTAACAAGAATAGCATAAGTCATAGCTTCGAAACTCTTCGTGAGGCGGGTCTTAGCAGGTCCTGCCCACTCCGATGACTCGTAGCAGGAAGGCACGGCGGCGGGCCTCAATGATAGGCATTTCGAAGCTCAGATCCAGAGTTCTCCAAGCTCCGTCCAGCTAGCGAATGAATGCTGCTGTAACTACATGTAAGGAGAGAACAACAAACGGACCGTAATGCTACCAATTTTGAGCAGCATGGACATCTTGTGCTCTTCACCGAAGAGCGAAGGCTAGGTTGTCCCTAGCTACGACGGTGATGGAAAGAAGTAAAAATACAGGTTCGTGTCAAGTTGTCGGCGCCGGCTCGTCCTTGAAATAGCAAGACGACATGCATTATTGCAGGCTCTGGATTGTTTCTTCAGCGTAGCTCTTTGATAGTATCCATTCCTTGCAGAGCTCCGGTCTTCCAACGTTAAGGAAAGAAAACGCTCCCAGCTCCCACTTGTGGGCATACGGACATTGTTCATCTTAAAATGATTGCGACGATCGTCCTGTCGAACGAGGCGAATGTACGCTACATGTACCCTTTGGCTGAGTTACGGTGAGACAGCATTGGTCTTGGTGGAGGTAAATAACCGGGGTCCGAACAAGGAACGGCCCGGAAGGCATCAGCAGAAGCCGCCGGCAACTCTGTTGATCTCCTACCACCACCACGTTCGCGATTTCGACGCGCCATACAGCAATAGAAATGCCGCCAGTCGTGGATTGTGCTGTCTTCAGCCTCCCGACGCGACATTCATGAATCCTCGTTACGCTTCTCTCCTCGATGGCGGTTGGCCGCCGTACCCCGAATGCGACAAGGCTGCGTAGAATTTTGGAACCATCGAAGAATGGGAGCCTATCCTGCCGAGACTTCTGAGATGATTCACTCGACCTGCGAGCATCACTATATCATGGTGCGACATCCACCTCTGTCTTATTAACACGCACGTATTATTATTTCATATTAGACATGTATCGCTTCGAGGAAGAACTGAGCAGTTGTATGACTGTGAGCTACATTTACCTCGGTTTCTGTTGTACCACGACCGTGACGTTTGTCTGTAGGGGAAAGGCTTGTTATCGGACAAATTCTCAGATTTAAACGACATCGTCAAACCGGAAGGTGTCTTGGTGCGCCAGTTCCTTTTATTCTGTTTCTTGAGTTAACCCGTTTTCAACACTTCAGAGTCCTCCTGTAATGTATCTTGCTGCAGGAAAGTCCGGAACCTTGAAAGATATTAGCGAATTTAGGTGCTCCTCGCCGGTACGTAGTATTCATTCTGCTATCTAAGCAATATCTGACTAAGGGTTTAGGCCCAGGAGCCAAGGGACTGGCAGTGCATCGATGTTACGCCGCGGACTGTGCGCTCTCGCGTCGAAGAGTTGCTGCAGAACCCGTGCTTGCCGCATATATGCAGGTCCATGGTTCGATCTTGGGGTGACCGTGAGAGACGCGTGTCCTTGGCAGATATAGGGTGCTCTCGAACCGGCCTGAGAACATTATGCTGCACTGAAAACCGCTTCATCATGATAGAGATGGTACGTGTACCATTTTCTGCGCTTCCACACTTGTGCTGACCTCTTGCAGCCCACGAAGCAGTCGTCGAATGATCGCCAGCCATGACAACCTCGCTGGTAGCCGAACGATTTCTGATTATGACGAACGGTAAGTAGATTCCTTCGCCTGTTTATGTAGATGCTAACCGAAACATGTTGCGTAGGTTTACACGCTGTCATGCTCTAGTGGGAGAGAGAAGTATACCAGATGATGAGACTGGAAAGCAAACCAATACCTGTATCTATTTCGCTCTTCGTATGACCTCTGATCCAACCTCTTGCGCAGTATAATGGCTCATACCTTTCCATCCACGAAGCCTTTGATATGTATGCCGCTTTATGGCGTCTTCAGTTCCAGTTCAACTGGGATAACCGTCATTGGAACTTCCTCTTGCTTTCAGCCTAAGTACGAACGTGATGATACCATTGTTGGTATTGCCTCTGATGCGCGACTAAGTACAGAAAGTCTCTAAGCTGGTCATAGTGATACTGTGTATCGCATACGGTCAAAGACTTGCACGGATCTGTCATCCGGGAAGGCCAAATTAAGGCTCCGAGCCCTCGCGTTGTCCTCTCACGATCCTTGACTCTGTCCGGGTCGTCCGCCTGATCTTCCAAGCGTTGCTCCATCGAGCACCAGCAAAGAACGCTGTTAGAAGGTACCGCAATCTGGTCTTATCGCCGCTCAAATTTCGCTAGGTCCGACCTTCCGGAGCAAGTATAAATTCACGGTACCTCCGTTGTTCGAATGACTCATTCCTATTATCAACAGCGTTCTAACAATCGCCCGCAAATCTCAATACATGATTTGAAGCTAAGAACAGATAGAGCTTTTGGTGAGCTATCATTTGAGTTCCATTGCAGTAGCTAACAACATACACAGGAACAGTGCGACCACTACCCATGGCAAAAGTCCGTCTTGGACCAAGTTTAGAGTGGAACCCCGAACCCCGAAGATCTCTGCCTAGGTGGATGGTCAACGAATTCGGAAATGCGCAGGGACGTGACAGTAGGGAGAGTGATCTGCGGGAGTTCTGATGGATCAAAGGAGGTATGAGTTAGGCTTGCAATCTGTAATAGCTTCAGAGCCGTGAACTTCTTGAGGCCGTCCCATTGATTTCTGTTCGGGGAATTGCAGTCATAGGTTTCGATGCGGGACCAAGGAAGAGGGAGTGAATCACAAGTTTCATGACTCATTATGCTGACAAACCGCAGAGAAGGTGCCGTCTGGAATGTATTGACTGGAGTGTCGACATCATCCTGATTTGTAGGCATTGCCGTACCAAACAGGACTTGGAGGCGGCTAAATGAAGTACCGGACAGCACTCGCAGGCAAGGCCGGGGGATATAAACTATGAGCTTTCTCCACCGTGGTGCACTGAGATCGAGCAAAGCAAATGTAGGATGGTCAGACAAAGACATCGTTGGCGATACTAACGCCACGAATAGATCCATGTCCTTGGATCTTTCAAGCAAAAGGGCGACTTTTGTCATGACAGCTCTCATACTGAGTGCTCCATACTTTCTGAAGTCAAGTCTAATACATGTCCACAAGCGTGGATGTGAGAGGGAGATATATTTCCATGTTCTGCAGACATGAGAACTCGCCCATGGTCCCCAGCGAGGATGAAGTTAATCGCAGCCAGGGCCTGGTGATTCAGAAATCATTTCATCCCAATTAGGCACGCAATGTGCGAAAATTTCTTTTAGAACGTCCGGCGGCATTGAACGTATGGAATGAAGAATCGTTTTAGCATCGTCAAAGTCAGATTCGACGACTTGTCGTTTCTGAATAAGGGAGTCGAGCGTCTGGCGCATTTCAAAGATCTGTTGGTCCAGATTTGCTAGAGTAGCAGGCGCTTCATCGACCAGTAAGTGTAAAGCCATTTTTTCAGCTTCAACGAGCGGGTCGTTGCAACGTAAGAGATCTTTGATTCTGCCGTGAGATAGTGGCACTGGAGAGGCTTTGAAGGGAACGGAATAAACATCGGGCAGGATGGAAACATCATTACACGTACGAGAGGGAGTGGATTCTGAGTGGAGTGACATCTATACGGCAGAAAGAAAGTCAGAAATGTAGTAGGCAGTATTTTACAACTGACTCAACGAACGTTTGGATTTGAGAATGAAATACCGCTTCCCCACCAGTAAAACTGAAGCGTTGACTGCTGGGGTGGCGACGCTGGATAGCGGTGAAAATATCTGAACGAAAGTGATTGGCTTGATGAAAGCTCTGGGAGAAAGGGGAACGAATTTCACTTTCGAAATGGACGCCAACACCACGTGACCTTGCGTTGTTAGCGGTCATCGGCTGACGACTTTGATACCTTGCTTTAGCGGTTGTCCAAGAGGGTCTTCAACTTCAAATATATATTAAACTAGCAGTACCTTTATATCAAGTAGACTCGTGAGTATGGAAAGGGTTGTAGATTGTTATCTCAGAGATTCATTGATTCTTTAACATCTCAGACTCCAGCGCTTTCTATTCCTTCCTATCTTGTTCGCCAGACCTTTGTCAGATCCCTGACCATCGGTAACCACGACCATCCCCCGTTCAGTGCCAACTTGGATGCCTCTCGTCGACCACCCATCACCAATCTGTCTCCGTAAAATGATGCAGATCCCAGATATAATCTTGTCGTCCCTGCTGAATTTGTCCAGACTGCATGTTCCCTACGTGCTGCTACATGCAGAACACCCCTTTGATCTGGCGCTTAACAGACCTGCCGTTCAATGTAGGGAATCCGGCCCGGTCCACCCATGACCGCGTGCACTTTAGGGCAGGGTTCGTACCATTTACTCAAACTAAAATTCTACCACACGTGCCTATCATTCCATTTCCCCCCCCTGGACCTAATGACAAGGACACAGAATAAGCGCACTCTAAATCTGATACTCAAGGTTGCCAGTTCCATCTTAGTACGATGGAACGCATGATCGTATGTCTCGTTCTAGGGCTCTTATATTTGACATGACATTTTCCAGGAAGCCATAAGGAACTTAATCCAAATGGCAGCACCCAGTATATCTGTCCAGATAGCTGAATATGCTTATCCTTCTAACACCACCGGCAAGGTAACTACATTCATGATGAACGATATTCTTATCGCTGATCTGCTCTCGAGATATACTCCCTTCCTCAGGAACTCATTAACGCCATCATCGATGAGATCCACAGCGATCCGGACCCAAAGACCGCCCGGCGCACCCTCAAATCGTGCGGCCTCATCAGCAGGATCTTCCTCCGCAGAACACGAGAGCACCTATTCCGCCACATCACGATTCGGTCGATCCCTGAGTGTCAGGAACTTCTTGCCCTCTCCCAAGTCCACTCGTTCACCACATCCCTCACCATCATATTCCAGAGTCGTCGGCCCCACGTTAGAGGCTATGAAATGATATCCACCCTAACGGAGCTTCCTTCTCTTATTGACGCACTCCACAACCTCAATACCATCAAGCTTTGCGGGATGGACTGGAAATCTGTATCTCAGCGATTCATCGATTCCTTAGCATCGAGTTCCTTCATGTCCATCACCCTTATGCATACACATTTTCCCGATTCCAATGCTTTCTATTCTTTCCTATCTCACTCACCCAACCTGCGTCAGTTGTCCTGCTTCAAAACGACCATCGATAGCAGTGATCGTCCTCCATTCCGCGCTAATTTCGATGTTTCTCATCGGCCGCGTATCACCGAGCTGTCTCTCCGTGAAATGAATCAGATAACAGCTATGCTGTCGACACCTGCTCTCTCCCCTGTGAATTTAAGCGGACTGCGTGTTCTTGACGTGTTCCTAGAGGAAGTTGGCCAATTTGATCAGGCGCATCGACTGATGAACCTAACTGCGCATTCTCTCGAGGTTCTTCGCGTCTCTCAATTATTAACACGACCAGCAGGTATTACGTGCTCTCTTTCTTCGGGACGAACATCTGCTGATGATATCCTTACAGATCGGTCCCAGTATTTCCCCATTGATCGTTTGAAATCCATCATGATCGAGACATGTGATTCTTGCCTAGTTGTCTTCAACTGGTGGATCGAACATTTCGAGAAGTACCCGGCTATGCAATGTTCTTCTATGCACCTCTTTGTCTGCGTACTCACAAACCCGGTTCGCACATTAGCAGACTACGCTGGTTGGAAGAGACTGGATATCGCTCTATCTCGGACTTCCATCCGCTCGCTTCAAGTTGTTGTTACTCTCGTCGCTACGAGTAATACAATACTAGCATCGGAGCATTCCGCGATGAAATCCGCCGTTGAGGAAAATCTTCCTATCTTGATGAGCCGGGGGATCGTGCGCGTTCATGTTGATTTTTACAAGAAACATAAGTGAGCTATTTATATATATACTCAACTGACTGACCCCTCCTGGCTTTCGTAGCAGCTGTAGGCGGAAATTTCCTTCTAGACTAAGGGACGATGTTGAGCGTTATCTTGCGTCTGAGTAATCGCGTATTTTCTGAGAGGATCCAAAGGATTAGGCAATCTGGGCTGGTCCTTTAGCTTAACCACATCCACGTTGAATCCACTTTGCACAACACCTTTCTCACTTACCTCATCCACAGCAGAGTGCCCAAGTCTTCCCGGCTCACTGCCCGCTGTGTGAAGTTCAGCTTCGTCTCTCACTTGTTCTCAAGTAGCGCGCGGCGTCCTCGGTGCATCTAAGGATTAGGCGCCCTCCGATGCTCGAGACATTACTATTACTCACGGAGAAGCTGGCGACACAAATGATGCATCAATCGCATTGTGCGTCATGTTAGCCAAGCACCCAGGTCGTAAGGATCCTCCGCTGATTTCCATCAACATGTGCGGCGAATCGTTCCAACGAAAATTTTACCATTATTGTTTGTATCTGCCCGTGCCTATCAGTTCATTTTTCCCTCTTGGATCTAGCGAGAAGACCACAACATAAGCGTGTTGTGAAGATACTCAAGACTGTCATCTTAGACCGCTGCACTATATGACCGTGCGTCGTGCATTCAAAGAGATGAAGAACGACACAAGCCTTCCGGCCCTTCCACAGCCTTCTTTTCTCACAACGTTAGTTCAGTCGATTACTTTTATTCCCTCGCCGGAATTGTAAGGGCATGTTTATATATATCTCTCCAGTTTTTCATCTAACAAGAATAGTGTAGGTCATTGCTTCGAAGCTCGTGAGGCGCGTGTTAGCGGGTCCTGCCGACTCAGATGACTCATGGCAGAAAGGCATGATGGCGGGCTTCAATGAGAGTCGTTCCGAAGCGCAGACTCAGAGTTCTCCGATGATCTTCGGGACCAGTCCCTTTCGAATTCGGAACCGAAAAAAATCAACTGCGAGTTTTTGAATTGGCTACACTGCAGTATATAGCATTTATGTAGGAAAGAGGGCCAGGAATATGTACAAGGGTATCGCTGAGTCACGGCGAGATAGCATTGGTATGATTGCTCAAGGTAAGTCACCGGGGTCTCAACAAGAAACGGCCCGGCAAGCATCGGGTCCTGGCAGAAGCCGCCGGCAACTCTGTTGATCTCCTCCTTCGACATTTCGACATGTCGTATCGGAATAGATGCGCCGCCAGCCATCTCTCACCCTATCTTCAGCCCTCCGACGCGACACTCAGGAATCCTCGTTACTTTCTTCTGCTCAGCAGCACAGGCCGCCGTGGCCGCGACGTCTGACACCAGAGCGTTTCCATCAACAGGGCTGCATAAAATCTCGGGTCCATAGGGGACTGGAAGTCTATCCTGGCGATGCTGCTGAGAAGATTTGGTCGACTGTCGAGTATCATGGTGCGTATCTGTCTCCTTTTCTTGTCAATGTTAAGTTTCGTGGACGTAGTGATGAGCAGGGGAAAGAACAAGTTAAATACTTCGTAATACCTGGCAATACCGGCCATTACCGGCCATTACCGGGGAATACCGAGTGATACCCGGTATTCCCGAGTATTACCGGGTATTTGGAGGATTCAGGCATTTTTGTCTCTACACCAGCATCATAATTTTTTCAACGTTTCGCGTCGACGTCAAACGAATTTACCGTCAAGTAAACTTTGACTGCCGGCTGTACGATGGTCTGAAGAGTTGCTGAAGTTTGTATCGCCTTGAGAAGGGCACTGGCACATACCTGGCTCTACACTCGGGGTTATATGTAACTCCGTTCTCAACAGCAATCTGGGTAAAAGAAAATCTTGCACGGTGATCATCAAGGTCAAGGATACAATGTTTGAGGTAATGCGCACGTTTCTCGAAGCTGGCAGACAGATAAATACGACAACCGGGACCAAAACGACGACGAAGAATTTCTGATGCATTATGGGTCAGTGAGATCTACACCGGCTACGCTTGACTTGCTTTGCTCAATCTTGGCACTAGGGCCCTCTACAACGTTGACGCCATCATTAAGCGCCTACGACGACGAAGACGGAGGTAAAGATCAAAACATTTCAAAGTCAGGCCATTGTCGTTACACATGCCGGCCCTTAGCCACCACCAGGGCGCTTATCACTCACCATCTCTACGAAAAGATGGCAGGTGGGCTTGTAGCGACCTGAATTGTAACAGTCATTAACTTTGACGTTCTAGGCAGCGTAGGTCATTGGCAGAGGCTATAGCTCCACTTTTCTACTACCAATGTCGTCTCTTCGCCGACGTATACGACCCGCCAGCCACGGTTTTGTGGTGAAAAGGCTCCCGCCCTCCCACCGGCACTCAGGACCCTCTGCTCCTTGGTAGGAAACGTCCATTCTTTATGCTGAAGTCGCGAACTGACCCTGCTGAAGGCCTTGGATAAATCTTAACGACGGTACGTCATCTTTGTCCAGGACTCGATGTTGCAACGATTGAGTAACTTATTTAAGATTTGTTTGCAGAAGTTGATGAAAAACAGCTCAGATCAGAGGCGCCCCCTATTCCAGAACTGTGCGACCACATCAACTGCGACGGTTGTTGGAGAGGCTATCCTCAGTCTCGTTTCCCGAACTGGACCCCTTCTCAAGTCAGACGTAGCCAAATACTTTATGCTATTAAAGACTACGACCAGGACATTCCATGCACGATTCATCATGTTGACGTTGACAACCGCGGCTATTTCATGGACTCAGGGAAGCACGAGGCTACAGAAGAAACGAAGGATAGTTTCTGGGGAGTTCTCATTCACCAACACGTACGTGTCCTACTCTCGAGCCCATGCTTCATCATCTAAGGTCCGTTCAGAGGCCGGCGAGCACGCGTGTCCGGGCGCTATTTGTTGAAAACATGTCAGGGCCAGTGTTGCAAATGCTTGGTGCAAAGTCCGCTCGGTTCCCGTCCATTCAATTGCTTAACTGACCGGCGCGTATTTTTAGATACAATATAGAACCGTTTTTCTTCTCATCATCACTATCATGGATACCATCGCGTTTCCAGGAAGATGTTCAGCCGGGAAGGGGAGACCGTAAGTTCAGCTCCAGTTTGTGACATTTGTATTTACCCATCAGCTATGGGTAGATATCACTATCACGTTAACATTCCTCAAAACCATGGATGCGGTCGTTGCAAGCGACCATTCTTCGACTCTTTCCAAGTCATCAACAACTAGCGAAGATACTCTCGCTCGTGAGTATTGTTTTCGGTGATTCGATTTATCCCCTGAACGGCACTTCTGAGCAGGTGAACAAGTAATCAATACCCAAGCCCCTTTGGTCCTACGGTCCGGTAAGCACTCGGATTAGCAACGTGTCGTTCCCTAGTTCATTCATCTTTTCCAGGCGATGGCTGCTCCTTAGTGCTCGATCTCCTCGCAGTCCATCTTATTCGAAACGTAGATGGCAATACCCTCATATCATATCATAATTCTGATCGCGAGGCAACGTCTGCCCCATACCTTCACGAACGGATACGCTTTGCAGGTGGCACCTGGACTTCGAAATCATCGTTCCTCTGCTCACAACTTCTTAGGTCAAAGTGTGTACTGGCAAAATATATTCCAACGATCTCCGGATCCTACTTTTGTATTACTGACATTCATTTGGCACGCCATGTATGCCTGGGATGAGGCACTTGAGGCGTTATATGCACACATTTGTTGGCTAGTACGTCCCCTCCACATTAGTGTCCGACGACGGTTCTTACCTCACACCAGGAAACCAGTGTGTTAGAACCTTCAAACATCTTTCTCACACGGGAACTGCACATTATCCGAGCGCATCATCTACATCATTCTTCTTTATTGGAAGATATGAGAAAAGCCGTTGACTTCATACACAAAACCCCCAATCCCGCTATGGACAATCTACCCGAAGAAGAAAAGCAACTTAGTCGGACGTTACTGGAGAAGGAATGTCGAAATCTGCTTTCGGAAATCGACCGACTGGAGATGAGCCGGCGCATGCAGGATAAGCGGCTTAAAAATGTCATGAATTTAGTAAGTGGTGGGTCTGTTAGCGCAATTGACCTAGCTGATCGGAGCTGTTACTACCAGGTGTTCAGCAGCGTCAATATCAACGACAGTAAACGCGTGAAGGAGTTAACTGAGGCTGCTGTAAGGGACAGCGCGGCGGTATGTCTCATCCTCTGGTCGGCTAGTTCGGATAACTGATTCCATTCAAGATGAAACAAATATCCTACCTCACTATGATCTTTCTTCCCTCTTCTTTCGTTGCCGTATGTGTTCCAGATCACGCTTGCCCAAATACTATTGACCATCACTATTCTAGGCTATTTTTGGAATGAATGTTCGAGAGCTCATTGGCCCCCAGGCCAAAGGGAGTCTACCACATTACTTTGAAGTTGCTGCTCCCTTGACGTTGCTAACAATATGGATCGTAATGGCTTTCCAGAGTAAATACTTCTTTGACTCTGGAGCTACATTTTGGATGCGCCTTCTGTGGCCGTGGATGCTGTTCAACCTGGTGTTTAGGAACCGGAAGGAGAAGAAGGAGGATTTTCCGTTGAATAGTTTTGATGCTTTTCGGACGAATGGATACTCAGCGGGACAATGATGAGTCCATGTTTATCAAAATACTTTCTGCTATAACATCCTATGTATAATGTATTTTGGTACTGCTATCCCCTCATTTATGGACACGAGTATTTATGCATTTATTGAACTGGAAACTAAATAAGAGAAATATCAGAAAACAATGATACAAGGTGAAGGATTACAAAATAATTGGGAATAGAATGATAAGGTACAGAAATATGATACAATTGTGATTTTTTGGATGCGGTTGAAGGAGAAATAAAACGTCCGTGCAATTCTTTTCGTGAATACTACCTCGATCAATTCTTGGGCGCCTAAGAGGAGACTGGCACTAAGCAAGTAATATAACCTCTCTATATCCAGCAATATTTTATCCAGGTACTCAAATAGAGACATGAAATCAAGACTTTCCAGCTGATAATACTCAGAGATCTGCTCGGAGCGCGAGTGGTGCTGATTCGGATCATTCGGTTACCACGACTGTGCCCGGGAAGGGGGTTCATTTCGATAGGACTACACGCTACGAGATACAATGCAGTCCAGAAATAAGCCAAAGTCATCTTGATAGAGCAGTAGGCCTGTTTTACCTGTTTGAAAGTTGATGCTCACTTCGCAGTGCCGCTGCCAGTGCGAAAATCAGAAATCTCAATCTTGCTCGGCCCAACGGTCCGGAACCCATTTAGCTTTCCCACGAGGGCCGCGGCGGTTCTCGGCATCAGTTGTTTTACGGTGACAAGTGACAACAAACATTGCTCTTGCCACCATCCTACGTGGACATTGAACTTGACCTGTCGAGTGAACACAAATCGTGTCTGTGACTCCTCACTCTACGAGCCAACCGTGATAAGAATTGAGCGGGAGCCATGGCAGATTAATCGACGAAATCCGTGATATATTTCAAGTTACGGCAATGGACACAGAACAATGGTACTCAGTGACCAGATTCAAGTTGTTAACACACGTTTACGGTAATTTCATGTCAGGACACATCCTCGCTCGCTCGAACTGGGAAGCCGCGAGTTATCTCCAATTTATCTTCGGTCGTATCCTGACTTGTTTTTTGTTAGGAGAAACCCAGATTACCGATGAAACTCCCGTTTGAAAGCGAACTCAGAGGATACTACGGTCCGGATATCTGAGATCAGATTCTTGTTCCCAATCACCACCAAGGTAGCTGTCTACTACGCTTACACGATGCGGAAGCATCTTATATTTATTCCCGTTAGATGGCATCGCTAACATATACTCTACCACAGGAAGTAATCGACACCATCATCAAGGAGTTCGATAATGACCAGCCAGGCGGGTTAGGGCATTTACGCAGCGTTCTATGGCCCCTGTAAAATGTTCATTCCAAGAACCAGACACCAACTCCTGCCAGATAGTACTATCTGCCCCAACCGCCAGTACGAAGAATATCTTGCCTTATGTTATTCCTCGTTCCATGTTTCGTCCTCTTTGACAATCCTCACAATTATCAAGACCGTTAACCCACCACTGTCCGTCGGGCGCATACGATGTCCACCAGAACGGATTCCCCTGCTCTACGTTGCATCTAATCGAAATCAAGCTCTCTGGGATGGACTGAAGATCGTTATCTCAGAGATTTATTGATTCTCGCGTCGCATTCTTTCCGATCCATCACCCTAGAGCACAATCATTTCCTGATTCTAACCCTTCCTATCTCGCTCGCCCAAATCTCCTGCTTCATGATGACCATCAATAACAACGACCGTCCGTCATTCAGCGCTTATTTCGATGCTTCTTGTCGACCATGCATTACCGATCTGTTTCTCCATAAAACGAGGCAGACACTGGAGATCGTTCTGTCACTCACTTCTCTCAGACTGAATTCGTTCAGGCTGCGTGTTCTTTACGTGTTGCTAGAGGAGGAGCACCACGGCGCTTATGATGCGCTCGCTTGAAGTCACAATTTCAAACGCCTATTACATGTCCGCTTTCTCCGAGATGGTCACCCGCTGCTGATATCTCTACAGACCGGTCCAATTTTCTTTCTATTCAACACTAGAAAATATGTATCTTCAATTGGTGGATAGGTCATATCGAGAGCTACCCTGTCATGCGATGCTCTTCCTCATCCACTTATCAGACGAACTACGCTGCCCGAAGGGACCTTGATTCTATTCTGTCCCGCACCTCGCTCGCTGTTGATATCTCCGCCACCAGGTCCTCAGTTATTGAAGAGCCCTCAAACCAGATTTCACCCCACTCGGTATCTTCCAGCCTTGATGAGTCCCACGGTTTTCCGCGTTCAGATTGGCATGTACGATGGTATGCGAGTTGTTTAGTGCTGTCGACTGACATTCTCCGGCTTTCCTAGATAATTGATGAAACTCTCTCGACAACTAACCGGGTCAGAGAGGAGCCACTGTGCAAATTACACACGGGTTGGAGTAACTTCATTTCGATCCTACACTCTCATGCACACACTCCACTGATCCTATATGTCTCGCCTGACCTTTATCAGATCTTCTGCTTCATGAATCGTCAACAACAGCCATCCTCCATTCAGCACTAATTTTGATAGTTCTCGTCAGCTACACATCACCGATCTGTCTTTCCGCAAAATGAGGCACCCGCACATACCAGCGATGTTTTGTCGCCCGCTCTCTCCCCGCCGAATTTTCCCAGACTGCGTGTTCTCGTGGAGGGAGACTTTGATCTGTCACGGCGCTTAATGGACTTGACTAAGCAATCCCTCGACGTCTCATGATTTCAAACCCTGCCAGAAGGTATTACACGTTCGCTTTTCCCTGGACGATCACCCACTGATGATGTCTCGATAGGCCAGTCATCGGACCGAGTGTTTCCCATTCAACACTTGAAAGATATTCTCTATCGGGGTCATGGATTATAACCTTGGTGGTATTAATTTATGTATTGAGCTCAGTATCTTCAACGTCAATCAAGTGGTGAATCGGGCATTTCGAGAGCTTTTCCATTATATTCCTGCACTTCCTCCAATCCATATTTGTTTCGTCGATCTTGACGTGGTGCTGAAACTCTGTGTCGATACCTTTATTGTGTTGGCGGGGATACGGGTCTGGGCCGGTTCCTCTTTCAACACCACGTGCACTTTAGGGCAGGGTTCGTACCATTTCTTTTTCGAGGCGTTTGAGAAGATTGAGAAGGAGAACCCTGATGAGGAGGGGTTCTGGAAGGCGGAGACGATGCAGCGAGAGCTTCGGTATTGGTCGCAGGTGTTCCATGACCAGCACCTGGAGAAGGATACTGATAGTGCTGATCGTCCGTCCTTGATGATTCCCACAAGTACGTAGACGGCAATTTGACCTCGCTGTGAATTAACTTTTACTTTTCAAATTAGCCCCGACGTGAGACCACAGAGTGCGAATGACGTTTCTATATTCCTCGCCAGGCTTCGAGTCCTGCCCAAGCCAAACTTGGGCCTTGCCTCGGTCATTTCGGGCATAGTTTGAGTCTGAGAAGTTCTAGTCAGGACTGATACCAATCTGGTGCGTGTATCAACTCGATTATGTTCCTTTCGGAATGGCTTCCAATTGCCAACGAATGAGAATGTTATTTTGGAATATGCAGTAAGCCGTGATGAATTCTCGAACTTGTTTTCTTAGGTATTTGTTAAAATTTGCCTGGTGTATTAAATAAGTACCAGGGACATGAATGATGCACTGCGCAGCACCCAAGTAGGTACTGTCTTCGCTTTGGATTGCAGCACTGCAGATTTACTTATTGTTGTGAGGCGCTATGAAACAACGACTTCGAGGCGAAATCCATGCGCAGTCGTGTCTTGTTACGACACTCTCCAAACGTGTCGAACAAACTTCCGAGCTTCTACCCCGCAGCATTGAGAACGAGTCATATTTCACGTGCCCTTGACGCGTAGCTTCAGGCCTCTTCAGGCACACTCATTCACGTCAGTATTAAGCCAAGCTATTCACACACACTCAATGAAAGGGTTACAGTTATATGCGCGATAGCGAACACTGATTCATATCTGATGGCCCTTCCACTTCGTTTCCCAAGCCCAGCGACTTGGCGTTTCTCATCACTTCTAATCTATCCTAAGCGCTCCGAATCTCATGAACCAATAAGCAGGGAGTAGCAGTGGTAACGATGAGGATGTATTGATGCCAGGTGTGGGTTGGAATGATACATATGTAGGTATTATGGATGATGCTAACGGATACTAGGTAGAGCACAATGCAAAGTGTACATAGAATGGCGAGGAGAGGGACGGGAATTTTCAAGGTAACGAAAGCATTCGATGGCCATAAATATTATGCGAAGGGTCCATGATGGGATGGATATGTAACTAGGACAGTGGGGGTAGCCTGGCAGCCATCCTAGTTAACCGTTCACGGAGGGCTATCCATGAGAGCGTTCCCACTGAGAAAACGTCCGCTTAGGAGCGTAGGCGCGTTCTGGAGGTTGGATAGGCGAGCGTGCGAGCTCGGTAGTTGTGTAAGGGTTGGGAGGAGGACGGCGTTGGAAGGTCCGACGGTAGCGCCACACTAGGGTGAACCCTAGAAGCAATAGAATGAAGAGGACTGTGCACGCGAAAGTCAGTACGAATCCTAGCAGAGAAAGGGTAGACTGGGACGCACTAGTGCACACTATGATGGCTGTGAGCACCGGCCAACTGAGGTTATACCCATCGTCCTCGCCAGCATTGGAGACATTGGCGATGTAAATGGCGGGCATGGCTACGCGAAAAAAAAGTCAGGTTTTCAAGCTTCGAATGCCAGACAGAGCTGAGAGCCTTACCTTCTGAAAATACCCCGCGGTGGTGTGAGTCAAGGGCTGTGACGCGCAATTACGTCCTTTATATACGGGTTGCGGCTCCGAGGGTGTTGACTTGGCGCAAAGAAGGGATCACCGGAGGAGGGTCGGAACAGTCGTGTTTGCCGCCCGCGGCTCTCAGTGTGTGTGGGCACCGACGCCACAAGGGTCCCAAGACGAAGCCTGCGGGGGAGGCGCTTATCGTCATGGAGGCACACCCATCAAAAGTGGGTCACAAGGCCTTAGAGGGGACAGCGTGGATAAACGTTTACCCGAAAGGTTTACTGAGGGAAGTTCCGATACTAGGAAAGGACAACCGGATGGAACGAGTCAGCGAGAGGAAGACGCAGCAGCATGTCGTCGGCGCACAAGTTGATAGGAATCAGCGGAGGATCGTCACCGTCTGGGTGCTGGATTGCTGGATCGTCTTGGCTAAAATGACTCATTGAATGCGATTGATGCATTGGTGTTGGCGGTTTGTGTCTCCACCTTCTCTATGATTAATAGTAACTAATAAAGTCTAGAGCATCAGAGGGCGCCTAATCCTTATATGTTCCGAAGACACCGCGCACTATTTTGGAACAAACGACAGACAAAGTTGATCCTTACAGTGGGGGTGAGCCGGGGTGAGTTGGGTATTCTGCTGTTACTTCAGGTGATGGTTCAAGCGAGAAAGGCGTTGTGCAACGTGGATTCAACATGGACACGGGTCCTAAAGGTCCGGCCCGGATTGCCGATCCTTCGAGGAAATTCATGGTTACAGGAATAAAATAGGCGAGACGCGAATACTCAGATGTAAGATATCGCTCAACATATTCTCTTAGAATATGTGGAAATTTCCGCCTACAACTTCTAAGAAAGCCAGGAAGAGTCAGTCAGTCGTCACAATTCGGTATATATAAATAACTCACGTACCATTCTTGTACAAACCAACCTGAACACGCGCAATCTGGTGACTCATCAAAATAGGGAGATTTTCTCTGATGACGGATTTCATTGGGGAATGCTTCGAGGCTCGTGTCTTAGCGCTTGTCACGAGCAGAGTGACAACAAGCGAGCGGATGGAAGTCCGAGATAGAGCGATATCCAATCTCTTCCAACCAGTGTAGTCCGCTAATTTTTTAACCTGATTTGTCGTTACGCAGACAAAAAGGTGTACACAGGAGCATTGCATAGCTGGGTACCTCTCGAAATGTTCAATCCACCAGTTGAAGACGTCTAGACGACAATCCTTTATCTCGATTATGATAGATTTCAAGCATTCAATAGGGAGATGCTGGGACTGATCTGTAAGGGAATGCATCAGCGAGTGATCATCCCGGAGAAACAGAGCACGTAATACCTGGTGGCGGTGTTATTAATTGTGAGACGCGAAGCACTTCGAGGGATTGTGCAGTCAAGCCCATGAACCGCCGCGCCTGATCAAACTGGCCAATTTCGTCTAGAAAGACGTCAAGAATACGCAGGCTCTGCAGATTCACAGGGGAGAGAGCAGGCGATAAAATCATGGCTGGTATCTGATTCATTTTCCGGAGAGATAGTTCAGTGATACGCGGCCGATGGGAAGCATCGAAATTAGCGCTGAAGGGAGGACGGTCGTTGTCATCGATCGTGGTCTTGAAGCAGGAGAACTGACGAAGGTTGGGTAAGTGGGATAAGAATGAATAGAAAGCATTGGAATCAGGAAAATGCGTATGCATAAGGGTGATGGATACGAAGGAGCGCGATGCCAGGGAATCGATGAATCTCTGAGATAGGGATTTCCAGTCCATCCCACAGAGCTTGATTTTATTGACGTTGGGGAGCACGCCGATGAGGAAAGGAAATTCCGTTAGGGTGGATATCGTGCAATATCCACCATAGCGAATCCGGGATTGAAATTTAATGGTAAGGGACGTAACAAACGAGTGGACTTGTGAGCGTGCAAGGAATTTTTGATCCTCGTGAATCGACCGAATCGTGATCTCTCGGAACAAGTGCTCTCGAGTTCTTCGGACAAAAATCCTGCTGACGAGGCCACACGATTTGAGGGTGCGCCATGCAATCCTGGCGTCTGAATCGTTATGTATTTCATCAATGATGGCGTCGATGAGTTCCTGCGGAAGGGAGTACATAAGAGTGGTCTAGAGAACAGATGGATCAGCGATAGGAATATCGTTCACCATGAACGTAGTTACGTTGCTGGTAGTGTTAGGACGACAACGACGATAAGCAGTGGATGCTATCTGGTCTCTGTGGTACGATAAATTGGGTGCCGCTATTTCGATCATATTTCTCGTGAAATTCTGGAGGATGTCATACATAGCATGAAAGAGACCTAGAACGAGACCCAAGGCCATATGTTGCATCGTTCTTAGATGGCGCTGGCAGCCTTGAGTATCAGATTTAGAGTGTGCTTCTGTTTCCTTATCGCTAGGTCCAAGAGGGAAAAATGGAATGATAGGCGCTCGCGGTAAAATTATAATTTGAGTAAATCGTACGAACCCTGCCCTAAAGTGCATGTGGTCATGGATGGACCGGGCCGGGTTCCTTACATTGTGTTGAACGGCAGATCCATTAAGCACCAAGTCAAAGGGGTGTTCCGCCTGTAGCAGCACGTAGGGAACGCGCGGCCTGGACGAATTCAGCGGGGAGAGAGCAGATGATAAGATTATCTCTGAGATCTGTATCATTTTACGGAAAGACAGATCGGTGATGCGTCACGGTGGTCGATGACTCGGAGAGGCATCCAAGTTGCAACTGAACGTGGGATGGTCGCGGCTATCGATGGTCAGTGATCTGAAGAAGGTCTTGCAAGCGAGATAGGAAGGAATAGAAAGCGATGGAATCTGATATGTTAGAGAATCAATGAATCTCTGAGATAACAATCTCCAGTCTACTTAATATAAATGTGCTGATAGTTCAATATATATTTGAAGTTGAAGACCCTCTTTGACAACCGCCAAAGGAAGATATCAAAGTTGTCTACCAATGACCGCTAACAGCGTAAAGTCACGTGGTGAAGTTGGCGTCCATTTCGAAAGTGAAAATTCGTTCCCCTTTCTCCCGGAGCTTTGATCAAGCCAATCACTTTTGTTCAGATATTTTCAACTCTATTCAGCGTCGCTACTCCAGAAATCAACGCTTCAGCTTTACTAGTGGGAAAAGCAGTATTTCATTCTCAAATCCAAACGTTCGTTGAGTCAGTTGTAAAATACTGCCTACTATATTTCTGACTTTCTTTCTGCCGTATAGATGTCACTCCACTCGGAATCCACTCCCTCTCGTACGTTTAATGATGTCTCTGTCTCGCCTGATGTTTATCCATTTCCCCCCAAAGTCTCTCCAGTGCCGCTATCTCACGGCCGAATCAAAGATCTCTTACGTTGCAACGACCCGCTCGTCGAAGCCGAAAAAATGGCTTTACACTTATTGGTCGACGAAGCGCCTGCTACTCTAGCAAATCTGGACCAACAGATCATCGAAATGCGCCAGACGCTCAACTCCCTTATCCAGAAGTGACAACTCGTCCAATCTGACTTCGACGATGTTCCCCAGACAGAAATCAATGGGACAGCCTCAAGAAGCTCACGGCTCTGAAACTATTACAGATCACAAGCCTAACTCATACCTCCTTGGATCCATCAGAACTCCCACAGATCACTCTCCCTACTGTCACATCCCTGCGCATTTCCGAACAAGAGCACAATTTAGGTGCCGGGATAATTTCCAAGATCATCGAGAATAATATCCTCATCCTACCATCTTTATCCACTTTGAAGGTTCAAATTTTCCATGGCAGTATTCCCTCTTTTCCTCTCTCCCATCAGCTCCCGAATTCTCTTACGACGCTCATAATCCGGGATGCCATGGAGAGCCCTGACAACGTTCAGCGAGTTCTCCAATTTCTCGAAACTGTACCTTACGTCAACACATTGGTGATTGATGGACGACGTTGTAGCGAGTTTTTCGAAAGTCTCACCATTCAGCCGGGGAAGGACATCATTTTACCGAACCTCCGCATTCTTCTATTCCAAGGGCGTCATCAACCTTTCCCTGATCCAGTCATCCTTGACTTTCTTGAGTCACGATGTCGAAGGGATGGTGATGATGCTGGCGGTGGGGCTGTTAATGGAAAGGACCGTGATGACGGCCAGCCCCAATGGGTTTTCCTGGAGGAGATCGATCTGTCTAAGGTGGAGCTTGTTCCACAGTACAGAAATCACCTGGATGAACTTCGTCAAAGAGTGAGGATCGTATACACTTCCTAAACAGATGAATATGTAGGGCTTTTCTTCAGTCCTTATGTACATTATCTGTTTTGCTACCATTTTCTATCTACACTGACCGCCAAAAATAAAGAAGCAGCCTTAACAGGCGGTTCTCTCTGATGTTTGAACGTAATATATTGATGTAAAATATGAGAAATAGTTGTGAAACTCAAATCTAATGAGAACGAAACATGAAAATCACCATGTGTGTTACGTCGGGCCCAACTTCAAAGGTAAAAGGTAATGCAAAGCGAGGCCAAAGTTCCGTCTGCATACTTGTGGAAATCATCAAGAACGACTGTCAGCACTACCAACACCCTTCTCCAGGCGATGGTCATGAAATGCCTGCGACCAATACCTAAGGTCTCGCTGCATCTTCTGTGCCTTCCAAAACACATCCTCATCAGGGCCCTTCGTCTCGATCTTCTCAAACGCCCCAAAAAAAGAGATTGTCATCGAACCACATCTCCCCGTGGACGAATTCGTGCAAAGACGTAACTCCACCTTAGAACTCCCACAGCTGCGTAGCAGACTCCTCCCAGTAGTAACATTCATGGCAATCCTCGGGTCCAGCCTTCAGCACAAAGTTTGCTGAGGCGCACGAGGATGGATCCCAGAAGAGAGGGTGCGGTTCTTCAAAATGGAAGTTATACATGAACATGAGGATGAGGCGGCCGTGATCGTAAAAGTCTCCACCAGTCTGAGTAAAGAGACCAGCCCTCATCGGACACCTTCCCCAGTCGGTTGATAGCGATCTTCGGGGTTCCATTCTAAGACTTGGTCCAAGACTGACTTTTGCCATGGGTAGTGGTCGTACTGCACCTAAGTAGGTTGTTAGCTACTGCAGTGGAACTGAAATGACAGCGCACCAAAAGCTTTATCTGTTTTTCGCTTAGAATCATGTCTTGAGGCTCATAGAGGATTGGCAGAACACTGCAGTAAATGGAATGAGTCAGTCAAACGACAGAAATTTCATGAATTTATACTCGCCCCTGCAGGCCGGGCCTTTTGTGATTTGAGCGTCTATAAGACCATATCCGGTACCCTATAAAAATGCCCATTGCCGGTGCTCGATGTAGAAACTAATGGAAGATCAATTGGACGATGCAGAAAGAGTCAAAAATCATGGGAAGGCAACGCGAGGGTTCCGAGTGTTATATTGACCTTCCCGGATGACGGATCTGTGGAAGCGTTAGAAGCTGCATTACTAGATGTTTACTGTATGCGATGCACAGTATCACTGTGACCAGACTTAAGACCTTCTGTGTTTAGTCGTGCATCAGAGGCAATAATAACAATGGTATTATCGAGTTCATACCTTGGGTAGCGGAAAGAGGTAGTCCCAATTGACAATTATCTTGGTCGAATTCAGTGTTCAACGCGCCATAAAGCGGCACGTATATCAAAGATTTTGTGGATGTGAAACAATGAGTTATAGCTGGCCAACAGATCAGATCAGATCAGCGGTCGCGCAGAGAGCGAGTTGTATACACATACCGGTTTAATTTCTGGCCCTATCGTGTAGTATACTTCGCTCTCCCGTGGGGATGGAACATCAGGTAAACCTGTGGAATACGGTTCGGTGAGTGTCTACATAAAACGGTAAAGGAATCTACTCACTTAATGACGACCCTCATCATAATCAAAGAATCGTCCGGCCATGGGCGAGATTGTCATGTCCGAAGATTATTCTATGACTGCTTCGCGAGCTGCAATAGGTCAGCACGAGTGTGAAAACACAAAAATGGTGCACGTACCACCTCGTCCAAGACGGAGCAATCTTTTAATGCAATATACTTTCCTCCAACTAATTTGAGAGCACGATATATCTGACGAGGACCCACATAACTCACGTTCATCTCAAAACCGAGCCATGGACCTGCATACATGTGGCAGGTATGGGTTCTCCAGCAATGCTGCAATGCAAGAGCAGCATAACATCGATGTGCCGCCAGTCCCTCGGCGCCCCTGGACCCTAGTTCGCTGACATCCTTCAAGGTTCCGAACTTCCCTGCAACAAGAGTAGGACTCTGCAGTGTCGAAAACACATCAAGTCACAAAACAGAATGAAAAGAACTGGCACACCAAGACACATTCCGGTTTGAAGATATCGTGGTTATAGTGTACAAAAATTATCTGCATACAGGTACTACAGGAGATCAGCTAAAACAGGTACCTGTTTGGCACACACCTAGTTGTTTCTCCATCTCCCGGCACTTTTATGCATCCTTATAGGTGTAACTGCATTTACTAGTACTTGTCGCTGTACTGTAAGAAGCTATTCCCAAGTACTTTTTGAGAACATCCGTGTTGGGTCCGCAAAGATCCGGGCATTGCCGAGACGCCGAACCGGCCGCTGATGGCACATTCACACCAAGCCTCGAGTTTGTATGAATAATATAAGTCTATGCCAATGCAGTAACACCCTCGGAATATATATAATAATCAATGAATAGACAAGAATGTTTTATAAAAATACAAAAGAACTCTACAAACCTCAGAATTTCACTTTCAGTTGACTTGCAGTACAAAGCCAGACCCAAAATCGAGACATCATCGCAGAATTCTATGTAGAACCTCAGTGTGAAAGGGTGATAATATATTTGGCATGTTTTTGAGAGGATATAATACTTGCCCAGATTTATGGCATGGGTATATCTATATCATTACTCCCAAGGGGGTCGCAAAAACCGAAAAAATCATATCAGGTCGAAAAAATTTTTAAGGCCTCGATAGACTGACCAACCGCCATGGGAAAAACATACCCACAAGGGAAACATTATGTCATCACTCCGTGTCGGAGTCATCCGCCAGTGCGACCTTTCCGCCTACTTAGTCCTCTCATCCTCAATCAAAATGCTGATAGTATACTATTTTTGTCTGCTAGCGACGATGCTTTCCTACTGTACATGACAGGCACTTCCAATTTGGATCCGTCGAACTTGACTAAATATTTTTACTGCCAGTAATAGGGCTGCGCACCATACCGTATATGGTATACGGCCGTAAAACCATAATCCCAGATGGTCACGGAACTGTCCGTATACCGTACTGTATGATCAGCTTGAAAGCCTTGTCAGTGTCGGTACGGGTACCTTATGGCCATCTACAGCTGTTGACGACCGTGCACTGGAGGACAAAATGACTTTACTTATATAGAGTCACCATAGAGAATTTATGGTATGGTCTGATGGCTTTTGGATGGCTCGAGAGATGAAGAAGATAATATAAGCATGAAGGCAACAGATTTCGGAGGGGAAGACAAGTTAGATGTGTCCGAGATAATGAAGGAACTATAAATCGCACCTATATTGAACTAAGTGGACACACATATGTATCCAAAAGTTACACATGCTACTCTGAATGCAAACAAGACAGCTGCATGGTGCCATTTTGCATGAAAATTTTGCTCTAAAGAAGGCTCTAGATAAGATGCAAGGTGAAGCCGTATTACGACGTTGTACGGCCATATGTAAGAACTCTTGATGGCTACGGAACAACCGTACACTGTACTGTACACATGGTCATTAGTGTGCATTCAGCTTCGGTCCATCTTCTGTATAACGGTTACCAAAAACCGTATAATACGGTGATGGCGCGCAGCCCTAGCCAGTAACTCAATTCTCACTAATCCTGCCGATATCCGGCAGCATGCCATTGGCGTTTTGAGCCTTCGACATCATTTTGACCACTTTTCCAGTGCTCTTTGGGCCATGTTAGGTCATGGCCATCATATATCAGCGGAAATAAACATCTCTAGCGGCATCTAGGGTCTCTGAATGCTATTTTACAAGAGGGGGGCAAAAAATTTTTAAGGACCTTTTGGACCGACCAACCGACCAACCCGATGTGCTGGCTTGCCGGGCCGCAACCCCCTTGATTACTCCGAAGCACATTCTCCATCTTAATCACCGCTTCACAATAGACCTCAATCTCCCAATTCCCATCATCTCTCTCATAGTCAAATTCTCCCAGAAGTGCCTTCGCTAGCTCTAAATGCAGGTCCTCATTCAAATGTGTTTCCGTTCCCTCTTCCAAACCCTCTGGTGGTGGAATCAAGGAATTACCACCCAATGCGCCTTCTTCACCGTAAAAAGGGTCATTGGCAGTCTCAATATCGTCGCCTACATCCCCCGTCCAGTAACCCCTTCGGATTGCTTGTTCTCAGCTCAATTTGTACATTGCAATGGGTGTGCGATGGCTGGCTGTCCTGATCTTGTGATGGTTCCATGCATCATGAGTCCCGTTCAAAGGGCTCTGGATACACAGTTGAAATACCAGAAATAGGCAAAGACAGTGGACAGGATTCTCCTTATCCCAAAGATTATTAGTCTCCAGGTAGTCAAAGATCTGATGAAATGTTTCCAGAGAATCCTTGCATACATCTAGCCAGAGACGCTCAATCCGAACATTGTTTGTAGGTCTGTCAATGTTTATTGATTAGTTTGTCTGGGATCACAGGAGAAATGTCTGCCTTACCTTCCACGAAGATATGCACAATGTTCTCTCCCCCAATGCTCAATCATCACCATCTCAATGCCATTGTTTTCTGTTCCATAGTCTCCTTGAATGCGACTGGGCCAACCAAATATTGCAATAGCTCTTCTAAAGCAGTCAAGAACAGTCTCTGATCTTTTATTGGAGCAGAATTTGAGGTATATGATCAGATGGGAGTGCCCATCAACACAACCATGAACCCAAAAGCCCCAGTGCCGTAGTTTTTCATTTCCATCCTGATGCCAAAGTGCATTGGAACCTCTAACCTTGTAGACATGACGTTTGATTATTCCAACCCACTTATGACCAATGTGTCAGCTCAGCTCATTGATCGCTTTTCAGAAAAGAGAGTGATACCTTACAAGGACACCAATAGCATCCACTCGTCTGAGGCTTTCCTGAACTCTTTCATGTGGAAGATGAATACCCTTTGCTTCTAAGTGTCCAAGAATGATCACCAACCCAATAAAGGGATGTGCAAGTGATATTTCAGCCATGGTATCATCCAGCTCAGCATCACTGATTACAGTGAACTCTGGCCATTCAGATGGTATGCCAGCATGCTTCAGATGGTTGTATATTGTTCCCCAAGTGATGCCCATTGCCTTAGCAATATCGTCCCAGCTATTTCCGAGGTTATGCAACAGACAAGCCCGTTGGAGGTCAATATCGTACCGTGGTTGGCCTGGCTGCCCAGTGTGAATGCAAGGAAGGTAGGCAGATGAGGCAGGAGGTGGATGTGCAAGAAAATGCTCGAGAGGAAGCAAAAATTTGTTCACAAGTGTGAGAAGCTCTTCGATATCTTCAATAGATGTTGCGCCATAAGGATCATGGAAAGAATGGAGGATTGTACGTATCACAATAAGTTGGTGAACAACATGCTCCACAGCTGCTGAATCTGTATTGGGGAATGAGTCAATGATGAATTGAGCTTCAGAGGTAATATTGTGGCTCTCTGTGAAGAACTGATAGACAGGATCATGTCTTCCTCCCTCCTGGCTGTCGCTCATGGCGGTTATGTAGCAAGTTTCAAGTTTGACATTGAGACTCAGAGTTACCAAGCCAATACAAAATTCAGTATCATGACACATCATGTTTTGCGATAAGACCAGCATTATATACTGTAAAACACAGTAGTACTACTTTCCATACAAAATATGCTATCTAGGATGATATGGATAATCCTGCACAAAAGACCTAATACCCCTTGGGCCATACATAAGTACCTTCTATCCGTTCTCGCCAAAGGTTCAGTGCCAGTGTGAATACCAAACAGATTTGCTGCCATTCCTCTGACTGTGTGCAGTTTTTATCAACATGATAAACCTAGAAAGATGCAATGAAGATGTATACGGTCTGAGCACTCAGGAACATACCAGGTGAATTTTCTTCCATTGCGTGGTTGGCTGTATACTGTCCTTGAAAATATCTGTCAGTCGTGGTTTGCAGTTGGGATCTGGGTGGCCGAAATCATTAAGTAATCCTGAGAGAAAATGTGGCCACTTGATGTCGGGATCCTTGTGTGTGTATTTGCAAGTTCTTGCACTTCTTGAACTCAAGAGGGTGGCACCTTGGCGACACTGATAGGCAATGGTCTTGGTTTAGACAATGATCCTGGCTTCGGGGTGGTGCTCTCTGAGGATGCTTTGGGAAACGAACCAGATGACTTCTTAGATCATCCAGAAGAAGCTGAGAAGGGTCGCTTTCCTGGATATCGTGCAGAGGGTTTTGGTTTGACAGAGCCTGGTGGACCAGCTGCCCAGTGTCTCGATGAGAATGTGTTTGTGCTGTCCTTCTTCGGCTTTCTACCTGAAATAACAGGTTAATGACAGGGCAAATTAACAAGAGAATAATATACCTAATCATGAATACTTGTCTGAGATTGCGTCGAAGTCATCCCAGTTGTACTTGGACTGGTCTTCGCTTGAAGAGCCTGGGACATAGGTGAATGTTGGTTTTGCTATGAAAATTGTAAGAGAAAACAACACCTCCTGGATGATAAATACTCACGGTCTGGCACTACTCTCTCTGAATGCCGAACCTGGCACCAAAACTTGATATCTGGTTGATTTGGCTTAACTTTAGTATAGTAGTCGGATTCAAGTGAGTCAGTATTTGTCATGTCTGCAACATAGTGGCATGATGTAAGACTGCATAACAGTTAAATAGCACATACCATCAGGACTGTCAGTTTTGTAATCATGGCCATGTTCACTAGACTTCTTCTGTCGATAATAGCCAGTCCTAAGAAGCGATATCTATTCAATTATGTATGGAAACATCTAGGAAAAATTTACTTTGAGTTTAATGTCGCACCCTTCTTCGGTGACCGTGTCTGCCTTTGAGACCTCCCTGCTCTGCTCGCTTGTCTAACCTTGTCTTTATCTTGCTTCTCCTCCGATGGTGGCTTATATGACTGAAGATTATATGCATAAGCGCATGGTCATTTTTTATTAATGTAGATGACCATGACGCACCTTGATAGTATTTCCCGCTTTACGAGCCAGTCCCTTACACAGCTTTGTGAGAATAGCCAACAAGTCGGAGTATCCATCTGTGTCATATTTGATATTATCGAGCACCGGAACAACAACCAAGGAGTAGAAGCCATCTAGACCGTATCGACCAGTACAGATGGTATCATGGCACATCTGCATTGGGTCAGACAAGCTCCCAAAGGCACTTGAAAGGAGGAACTTGACATGTTCCATCCGGTGCCAGGTGACTGAAATCTGGATCGGCAGTACCAAAGGGGAAGCTATTAGATAGCTACGGATGACAATCAATATCAGTTATTTACAGAACAAGCTATAACACAGTCAAACTCACATTGGATGTCCCTGCCACCTCACTTGGTACATCTGGTAGGCTGGAACAATCCCATGCAGCCTTGGAATCACTCGCAGGCAGAAAAACAGAGGTTGCTAACCAACAGGTCAGCATATAGGGGTTCCCAACACAATGATTCTGATGTGTACCGTCACGGAGTTCATATCCTGGCAACCGTTCGTGCCAGCTTTGGGATCATCAGTGGGAGCATGCTTATCACTAGGATCCGAAACATCATCATCGATGTTGCAATCAGGCTCAAATACAGAAGGAACAGGAATATCAGGCTCTCTATGTGAATGTCCGATCCAGACAAGGTTCGGATATTCGCCACTTTTCACATCGCGAGGCTGGGTGTTGTAAGCGGAACTGGGGGTAGCTGTCAGTATAGGTGTGGTCCAGTAATAGCATGGCAACGCACAATTTGAGAGCCTTGTAATCAAGTTGGTTGTTGGATACCAGGATTGTAGGCTTAAATATTGTGCGCTGACCTTTGTGTTCAGCAGAAGAATCTCCATGCAATACACACCAGCGGCCAGGACGAATAAGATCCTTGAATGCATCCTCGATCAGGCTGATCACCACAAAGCTTGTCGCCTTCTTAGGAATTTGCACCTCACGCACAAAGCGAGCAGTACGAAGTGCAATAAATCTGTAGTTGGCATATTTGTTAGTTGGGATGCAAGGATATGAATTGATGAGAACAGACGCATGCATGCTGACACGTTCAAACTTCCCAGACCACACAACTGACATCTCGCTGACTAGGGCAATCATAAATACTGTGGGCGAGTCGTCATCCTGGGAGGAAGAAGCCTTCGTCTTCTTCGACTGCTTGGTGCCAGATTTCGAATCAGATTCGGTAGTAGTTGCAGCCTTCTTCCGCTTCTTGGGTGGCATCGTATCTTTGCTGTTCTTGCTGATGATTGCTGAAATCTGGCTCTAAGGAAATGTCAGTTTCACAGTTAATTATTCCGGACAGTGGAGAAAAGGGAATATCCTTGCCTTTTGGGCAGGATTGAATGTCTCTCCGCCAATAGTGGGGTCGTTCATCATGGCGCGGGTCATCACCTCATGACATTTTTTTGCCATGGTTGAAAACGTCGAGCCAGATTGAACACTGTCCTGAGTCGGAGTGTCGTTGGGATGGCTCCGCAAGGCTGGGTTTCCTACGGATGAGCGAGAGTTGTAGATAGCATCCTTTGTCACGTTGACATCAATCTGTGGCCTAGCACTATTGAAAGTCGGCTGAAGTTTGATGTCAATCATAGGCGTACTCAAAATTCAGTAACACGAAATACCTTGATATTCCCCGATGTTGCATCAGAGCCAGAGACGGCGACATTGACAGGAGAGAGCTTCGGTGGTGCCTTGAGATGATCCTAGAGTCTATTGAGAAGGATCATAGTAGCAGATTAAATTATCAGCTCACCGGTACATCCTTGATATGAGACGCAGTGGGACATTTGCAGACCCCGCAAACACTCAACACCGGGACATTGTCGAAATCTCCATTGATGGTCTCTGTGGCAACAAAGCCAAATCCGCAGTAGGAGCTGCATTTGGTGGGATCATTGTGGCAAGAGCCAAGGCGGTCGATAGCAATATGTCGCAGCATTATAGCATGCAAATCAATGGAGGAGCTTCAATAGAGGGAGGAGGGAAAACGGAGAGGTAAGAACGAAATTTTCAAGATTTTTGCGAGCGGGCTGGAAATATGTGCAAACAATGATGTGCCTGTGGCCACGGATAATGCAAGAGGGGTATGTCGTCGGGTAGTAGTGTCCATCAGGATAAGTAAAGTACTTGCGAATTTGAAGTAGTGGCGGATCGCTGAGTGGTTGCAAATTGAGAGACACATGTTGCTGATTGTTAGCAAATGGGAAAGTGGCTGTGTGAGCCTAACCCTAGGAAACCACCTGACGGTGAACAAGTGCCTGCATCAAAAGTAGTGCTGGGAACCATCAAAAGTAGTGGTGTCCTCCCTACAAAACAAAAGAATTTTTGTACAGTATAATGCCCATATGAAGATGCCGTTCAAATCTGAGAACTTCTCCGGTAACTGGCCTTTTCCCTACAGAGTAACGTTGTGGCACAACCGAAACTAAGATAAATGTAGCTCACAGTTATACAGTTGCCCAGTTCTTGCCTTGAAGCGATACATGTCTGGTATGAAATAATCATAGGTGCATGTTAACAAGACAGAGGTGGATATCGCACCATAATAGTAATGCTCGAAGGTCGAGTGAATCTTCTCAGAAGTCTCAGCAGGATAGGCTCCCAGTCATCGATGGTCCCAAAATTCTATGCAGCCCTGTCGCATTCGGGGTTCCGCCATCGAGGAGACGAGTGCAACGAGGATTCGTGAATGTCGCATCGGGAGTTTGAAGACAGCATGAAACATGACTGGTGGCATTTCTATTGCTGCATAACGCATCGAAATTGTGAACGTGGTGGTGGTAGGAGATCAACGGAGCTGCCAGCGGCTTCAACCAGGACCTGATGCTTGCCGGGCCGTTCATTGCTGGGACCCCGGTTACTTACCTACCAATGCTATGTCACCATGACTACTTTACAGATTCCTGGTTTCCCTTCTTACTTCGATACTATTTGACATGGCATAGGAAATTCAGCAACCATCCGGTGATTGTTTTTGCTCACAAATTTGAGAGTGATTGCCTGGTCCTGCACATATCCCCACCTCACACGGCACACGGCCATATGTTGCATCGTCCTAAGATGACAGTCTCGAGTTTCTTCAGAATGCGCTTGCGATGTAGTCTACTCACTATGTACAAATGGGAAAAACAGTACGACAGGCATGGGCAGATACAGATAATAACCACAAATTTTGTGTTGGAACAAGTCCCCACAGAAACTGATAGAAATCAGCAGAGGATCATCATGATCTGAGTGCATGCACACTGCAATTGTTGCATCACTTCTCCATAAGTAATACTAAAGCCTCGAGCATCAGATGGCACCTAATCCCTATATATGCACCAAGGACACCGCACACTACTTTGGAACAAGCGAGAGACGAAGCTGAACTTCCCACAATACTGCTAGGCTATAAAAGGTCAGGTCCTGCCGATCCCTTCTCGAATCCTCTTGGAAAATCATAGATACATACACGAATAAGTACTCAGACATAAGGTAAGATTCAACATCGTCCCTTAGTCCAGAAGAAAATTTCCGCCTATAGCTGCTATGAAAGCCACGAGGAAGTCAGTCAGCAATTCAGTGGATAGATAAATAGCTCGCATAGGTTTCTTGTACAAATCAACATGAACGTGTGCAATCCCATGGCTCATCAAAATAGGAAGATTTTCCTCAACGGCGGATTTCATCATGGAATGCTTCAATGCTAGTATTATATTACTCATGGTGAAGAGAGTAACAACAAGCGAGTGGATGGAAGTCTGAGACAGAGCAATGTCCAATCTCTTCCAACCACCATAGTCTGCTAATGTACCAACCAGATTCATGGTCATGCAGACAAAGAGTTGCATACAAGAGCATTGCATGGTTACGTAGCGCTTGAAATGTTCGATCCACCAGTTGAAGATGTCTAGGCAAAAATCAGATGTCTCGATCAGGATAGATTTCAAGCATTCAATAGGGAGATGCTGGGACCGATCTGTAAGGGTATCATCAGCTAATGTTTGTCCTGCAGAAAGATGACACATAATACCTTCTGGTCATGTTAACAATTGAGAGACGCAAAGAACCTCGAGAGAATGCGCAGTCAGGTTCATCAGTCACCACGCCTCATCAAATCAGCCAGCATCGTCTAGGAACACATCAAGAATGCGCAGGCTCTGCAGATTCACAGGGGAGAGAGCATGCGACAACAGCATAGCTGGTATCTGACTCATTTTCTGGAGAGATAGCTCAATGATATGCGGGCGGTGAGAAGTGTGGAACGGAGGACGGTCGCTGCTATCGACGGTTGTCATAAAACAGGAAAACTGGCAGAGGTTGGATGAGTGAGATAAGAATGAATAGAAAGTGTTAGAATCAGGAAAATGTGTGTGCATAAGGGTGATGGATATGAAGGACCGCAATGCTAGGGAATCAATGAATCGCTGAGATATGGATTTCCAGTTCATCCCGCAGAGCATGATGGTATTGACGTTGTGGAGCGCATCAACGAGGGAAGGAAGCCCCGTTAAGGTGGATATCGTTGGATAGTATCTGCCACAGAGCCGACTCTGAAATATGATGGTGAGGGATGTGGTGAATGAGTGGACTTGGGAGAGGGGAAGGAGCTTTTCATAATCGGGGATCAACCAAATTGTGATGTGACCAAATAGGTGCTTTCGAGTTCTACAGACAAAGATACTGCTGGCGAGGGCACATGCTTTGAGGGCATGCTGGGTGCTCTTTGGGTCCAGGTAGTTGTAGATCTCATCGATGATAGCGTTCATGAGTTCCTGAGGAAGGGGGTTGATAAGAGTCGTCTGGAGAGTAAATGGGTCAGCAATGGGAATATTGTTCACTGTGAACATAGTTACCTTGCTGGTAGTATTAGCATGGTAAGCATTTTCCAGTATCTGTAACAATACATCTGGTGCTGCCATTTGGATTACACCAGAGTCCTGGAGAATATCATGACATACATCGAAAGAGCCCCAGAACGAAACGCATGATTATATGTTGCACCGTTCCAAAATGGCAGCTGTTGGGATTTGGCAATCCGGCATCATGCTGGGTTCACTTATTAAGGTAGAAGTCTTAGGAAAAGCGTGGAAAGTTCTAGTAAAAGTACATTTGGTATATAAGTAGGTACTTTAGTGTAGATCCTCATGCATTTGCAGAGCTCAGCCAAGCGCAATTCTATTGGCTTGCTACTGTGCATGTGACACTGAGAATAAACTGATACCCCGTTTTCCAACAGCAGCCTTAGATATCAAATTGAGAATGACCTTGTCATCTTCTCACTAGTTCAAAGAGTGAAAGATATAGTTGCGGGCAGATAAGATAGGGCTCAGGTGGGAACGACTACCAAGGGGGTCCTAATAATGAATTAAAAGACAGTGGATTGATTAAATAATTTTGTGCACCGGCGATGGACCTACCTACCTTCACATGACATTTATGATGTCATTATGCTAAATTTGGGTATCTTTCGACTCAATTTGGTGAATATTTTGTCTGAAATAGCTGTGATATTAATATTGAAAGTGTTTTAAACATAATCTGTACACTATCAAGTTTAAATCATGGCTGTGCTCTAATGGGATGTCGTAATGTCATCATGTCCAGTCAGCAGGGCCACTTTGCAATGGCATTGACTTAGTGTTGGTATCGCTAGGTATGATGCCCTAAGGTAAGTAGCACACTCAGTAACATATACTGTATCATGTATACTCTAAAATTTACCTTTGAAGTCGATTTTTAAACCCTTAAAATGGTGGTCAACTTTTTTTTTTGTGACATCTGGCTGGACCTACCTACCTACCTGGTGTGCCAGGCCAGAATTCCGGTACCCCCTTGACGACTACATCACATGAAATGTGACATTGAGTGACAACCTCATTTATGACATGTCTGGCTGTATGCTCTACATGTTTCTGGAGGCCTTGAGGGTCCCTTTCATCATAAACACACATTATATAGGGTAGAGCATCCTTACAAACAATTTCAGATACTTCAGATAGGATATTGAAACTCATCCTAATTTAGATATGTCAGAAGGAAAATCTATCAATCCAGTACAAGGTCCAAAAAAAAATAAAACAGCTCTGAGGGAAGTGTCAGAATTTACTTTTTGAGCTTTGTTCAGAGCCAGATTTCCCAAAAGTAGGTGTGTCCTGTCTCTGATAGAGATTTACAGAGATTTATGGAGTTTGTCACAGATATCACATGAATATCATGTGATGTGATTGTTCTCACCTGAGCAGGACCCATGTTTATACCCCTTGAGGTTAGGGCAAAAGTCCAGACAAAATGGGTGGTTTTTGGACTTGAGGTTGAGGGCAAATCCAGACAAAATGGCTGCTAGGTGGCCAGAGGTTAGATCAACAATCTGGACAAGTGATGACAACTACAGCAATGTTAGGCCATAGTCTGGATATGACAGCTGGCATGTGCTGACTGACCATTGTCCACTTATACTACTGACTATTATTAACCATTAGACTTTGTTCCTACAGGTTCCTACTTTGTTTGAAGCCATTTCTTGTTCCTTTGTCCTATTGTGAATTTTCCATCGACACCCAACTGAGTTTAATCAATATTCCTGGCAAAGAATGATGACCAAAAAGATGCTGAATTTGAATAAGTACTGTAGAATACTGTTCTTTTGAATTTTACTACAATCCTTCACCCTGCTAGCATTATTATGCATGAAATACTACCTGTCTATGCTGACGATGAACTTGATGAGCTCACCAAGCTCGACACTGCCTGGAACAAGAATGAATGGATTGGCTGTGGTCACAGCGACAAGGATGGCAGCGACGGATGTTCTGAGTTTTTTGCCCGGACCTGGCAATATCATTGGTGTATAGTAGTGTCTACCACTGGATAGTAGTAGGCACTGGTAGATGTTGTTGTATGACGTATTCTAATTTCATATAAGGTACATCACTGATCGTGATTAGATAATGCTAGAATTTCATCTTTTTCTGGTACCTCACCCTGATCGACTATCGCACTGGATTTCACTGTCATATACTATGTGCTACTATGTGTCGGTGTTGCATCAGTTGTATCGGCCCGTCCGTCGGGATTATATTCTCCTGCTAATTTCCATTGCCTTCCACAATATTCTACGGTACCTCGCTGTGCCTGGTTTTGGCAGCCCATCCGATTGAACCTCTGCGCCAAGTCGGTCGTATCAAATACCTGATTCCCCTGTTATCCCTCCAAGATCATGGAACCTCTGTCATTTAAAGGCAAGCTGTCGACAAACTGCAAGAAGCATAGCTTCCTTTGGCCACTTTCTTGCCAACTTGGCCTTCGGAACCGTGCTGAGGACCAGACGAAGTTCACCAATAAGAATCTCATTGCTGATATCATTGCTCATTTTCGACAGAACCCTGCACTTTTGGGGGACGTCCTCTACGAGAAACTATGCATCCCAGGGATGGACTCGATAGCTCAAGCGGGCGACGTTGGGGAACCAAATCCAGCTAATGAGGCCAGCGCTGTTAATAGGGGTTCAAAGCGAGGCGAGGCAGGTTCAAGGTGCGAGTTTTATTTTATATAGGAGTGTTTTTCTGACTGGCTCTGCCAGTAACGCTCAAGGTACCAAAAAGATGAAGAAAAGCTCCGACAAGGACATAGAGGACGATTTGGCGGAGGAGGAAGAAAAAGGGTCCACGGCCACAGGGTGCGTTCACTGTAATTCAATCTCATCTCTGGCGTTTATCCTCCGCATTTTCAGAGTACTCAAAACGCTCCTTTTGTCAAAAATGCCAGTCGCACCCCCGGCAAGCCATGTTCGCCTAGGAAATACGATGACCAAGGGTGCTGAAGGGAAAGGTAAGTCATATTTGACTTATAGCGAGACAAGAGATTATTAATTTACTGTGGCAGGTAAAGCTACAGTTGACGACTCCAGCTCCACATCCAGTCGAGCATCGTCGGTTAGCAAAGCAGAGCAGGATAGAGACTTAGAGATCTCCGACAATAGGACTGTCAGGGCCAATCAAGCGGTGGAGAACTCTGGGTCATACACTATCATGAAGACCATCCGAGAACCATACAGTACGTATTTCAAGGCTTTGTAAACCGTGTCCACACTTACAGTTCCATTTAGTGTCTGTTAACCTTGTTCTGGTCGACAGGAATCTGAATAAACTGCAAGAATCAGCATATGAGGTTGGCTTGTCGATGGAGAAGGTGAAAATATATTCACATTCCGAGCCAGGCCAGGGTGGTCGACGATTTGCGGTGAAGTATTCAGAGATTCTTCCAGAGTTGGTTGCCACGTCTTCTCCAACAAAAGGTTCGTTTCACTGCCCTCTCGTTTTTCTCAATGGACTGACTTCATTGGTCAGAGCGAGGTGGTCGATTTATGAGACCAGGAATTGTGCAGCCAGATAGGTTGATGTACCTTGGACCCGTCGAAAGCTTTCAGAGCATGAATCCCCTGCCAATCGTTCCACGTGCTGACTTTTGTGATGTGACAAAGCTTGGGGATGACGTGTGGGTTGCGGATATCTTTCAGGAGATAGACAACAAGGTGAGTTGACGGTTTTGTCTCACTTTTGTGGTAGAATGTGCTCACCATCATGATAGAGTTCCTCTACAAAGGTCAAAAACACTCTCCAGGCCGAGAACAAGCAAGATGCAGAGAAATCTGGCATCGACGAGGATGTTGTGAAATATATTCAAAACGACATCATGCAGCTTCCCACCGGATCAGAGGAGCACAGAATATTTACCTCACGGGCTGAGACAGCTCATGCGGCGCTTATACGCTACAAGAGGTTTGAGGAGAACCTGGCAAAGCTTCCTGATGCTTGGAGCGCCGGAAAGGAGGGAAGTTTCAAGATTTCTAAAGGTATGCTGCATTCATGTACGTTTATTCAATTAATCTTAGACACAACTTAGATGATCCCCAATTCCCCGGCGTCACATTCACCGAAGGTGATTTACACCAGATATTTCACTTCAAGCCCGCCAACCACAGCAAGAACAAGAGACGATTCAGCAAACGCACCCGTGAGCGCCATCCCAAAACCATTGGTGCCTGGTTCAAGGATCCAGACGGCGCTATGAACGATATATACGGCACTATGAAGTTATCAGAATTTGATGCTGAACTTCAACAGCTTGACATAGCGAAGGATGCCGAAGTAGACAAGAAGAAGAGAGAGAGAAAGAGACTCTTTAAGGTGGAGAGGTCGGATCACTCAGGTGAGGAGAGTAAGAGCAGTCATCGAAGAGGCAAGGGTTCATCAAAGGGCAAGCAGAAGCGGGCGAAGGCTAGTCCATCGGGTTCTTCGTCGGAAGAATCTTCTTCCGAGGAAGAGAAGCGCCCAAGGAAGAAAACCAAGCATGCTAAGGTTTCCTCCTCCAAGGCTTCGATGTCGAAGGCTAGTTGGTATGTGGACCTTGATTCTGATGATCTGGATGGTGATGAATCAATTTTTCATTGCAGAGATGATGATGCCTAGTTATTACATAGAGCGTAGTTATAACTAAATACATAGGTACCTGAGCGTAAATGAAATTCATCTTCCTATCTTGACCTTGAACCACATTGTGCATAGTATGCCCAGATCTGCCCAGAGCCTCGTTAATGCTCTATGCGTCTATTTCCCTCCAGGACTATCTATTGAAAATGTTGTGCTAGTGCTGGGCACATTCTTATCACTGTACCCTCTCGTGCAACTTCATAATAACCAGCGCCATGATCCGAATCAGCGGCAACGGACAGCATGGATGACTGGATTGATTGCCATCCTTGCAAAATCTTTCGACCCTCATGATACGGAGGGATGGATTGATGAAGAAGAAAAGTTTGTCCTTGCTCAAAACATGGCCAACGACGCAGATATCCTCTATGAATTCCTTGGTGTTGACATGACAAAGCCGCTTTCAGAGATCTTCTCTCAGCCTTCTCCCATCCTCACGACTGATCTACTGCGCTGTATTGTATGTCCCCATGGTACAGAATACACAACCCTACGCCGCAGAGAAGACATTCAAACAGTGTCTCTTCTCACTGCAAACCGAACCTGGACACAGGCATACCTTGCTGTCACTGAATGCAAGGTCTGCCGCACGCAGTATTATCCCGATCGCTACGTATACAAGGGGCCTACCCCAGGAAATCGTCTTCAGAGGCTTCGCTGTGATACACAGTACCTTCGCATCTTGAAGCATGGAGTCTGGGTTGATAGATCTATCACACTTGATCAGGAGGAGGCGATACTAAGCTTCCACTGCAGTTGGTCAAGTTTTGCAGACTGGACCAATAGGAGGATAAAGACCGGACGCAGTCTAACTTTCCGGCAATAGCAGCACCTGTTCATCGAGCACTTCTCACGGCATCTTCTGGTTGCGCATGGAATAAACGAGACATTCTCTTGTGCTGCCAATTCAAAGACCGATGTTCTGGTGTCAGCAGTGAGAGAAGAGATAGGGAGAGATGGTGGGATCGTTCCTGGTGCCATGGAACATGCGTGTATGGACTGCACCCACAAGAAGTGCTATCGGCAGGATTTGATTGACGAGGGAGCCGATTTTGGAGAGGAAGTTGGCTTGATTGCAGGTGAAGATGATGTTGAAGGACTTGAGGGCTCTAGCGAAGAGATCAATGTATGTTTATTCTGATCAAGATTTTGATTTCCATCTAATGATGCATGTAGAATACAGAGCCAGATCTGGAAAACGGTGACTCGGAAATTGACACTGTGGATCAACTTTATGCGCAAGTGCTTGCAGAGAATGAGTTGGCACCAGAAGGACCACGGGGATACTCACGTTTGGCTGTGATAGATGGCAAAACCATGCGTCACTGAGTATGTTGTAACCCAACCAATATGCATGAAGATTAATGTCTGACAGTTTTTATTTAGATTTGCGCAGTGCCAGGCTGTACAGGAGCCTTAACAAACTACAAGAAAGGGAGATTCTGTCGGGATCATGCTCTTGAAGGGCTTGATGATATTTGTGGAATTGTCTCCTGTGGACGGCCTGTATCACCCCTTGGTTCGCTAACTTGCGACAATCCTTCTCACCGCACATGGTATGAGAAATACTGCAAATGATTCAAGCGCATGACATTCCCCGGGGTGCAGAGAGTCATACAAGCACAGCAGGCTCATGCTATAGATTCCCTAATAGACTCATCGATGACTCCTGCGACCACTGGCAATGTCCCATTCCGAGTTGAGCTTCCAGAGCTCAAAGGTTTGGCTGGGAACAAGATTGTTCACACATTCCGAGCCAGAACCACATATTGTCTTCAGACAGTTCAATGGGCTTGCAGTACACCGATTGGATGGGGAAAGTGTTTTACAGCAGAAAGTCCTTCACAAGTCCTCACAATCATCGACAATATCTGGAAAGACCATTCACAGTACAAGCCGAACTTCATCGCTTACAATTCTTCTTGCAAGCTTCTCCGCCACATTGTCACACAGAATCCCTCGAATCCATGGATATCTTCAACCAAATTCATTGTGGATGCTTGGCATTACATTGGCCATAAGGCTACTGATTCACTTTGCCAGTTATGGTGTAATCCTGCACCAAGGAATGGTGCTCAGCCAGACTTGGTGCTGGTTGAAAATGACAATGATGGACATCCTCATTTGACTCGTGCATTCAATACAGAAACGGCAGAACAGTTCAACGCCTGGTTAAATGGATTCAAGGCACAGCTGCGTCAGATGTCTAATGTGAACTATGACTTCTTTATTCATGCTCTGATGTTGCTATATAAGGAGGATATTGGTCAGAGAATAGAGAAGAAAGAAAGAGAATTGGATGAGCAGTTCTGGGAGGATGTTCTGTAGATGTAGAAGATCTCCCAAACTGAATATGACCATGTAATACAGCAACAGGCAACTGCTGTGTTCAGAACTCATTTGGATAATATAAGGGCTTATATACTGGATATCTACCAAGTTATTGAATACATATGAAGACATAGATAAGTATTTCATCATAAAATATTAATGAAGTGTTCAGTTATAGGCAGAAGGCCTGAAGAAACTTGCGGAAGTTATCAGCACAGCCATACATTTGCGGGGATCATGCATGACTACTTCTATATGTATAGAGACTATCTCAGTGTGTTCTTTATACTATTTCAGTACTCAAGAAATTGTTTACCAAGTATGGGAGTATAAATTATATCCTACAGGCTGCATGTATAGATTTACACTGTATCCATATGGGACAGGGACAGTACCCCACAGGAGGATATAGTATTCTCTAATAGTTTACAGTGAGTTTGTGCTTATCATGAGTGTGAATGTATACTGTATGACAGGAGTTAACACGAGATTTCTGGTGAATGATACTGGATATTCACTATTCACCACTGTAGACTATCATATCCCACTATAGAGGAGTGTTATTTCTCAGTATTATCTTTGTGAATTACAGTGATGTACAGTAGAAATCCCTGGTATACAGTAGAATAATAGTAGAAATATCACATATTCAATAGTGGATGACAGTGTAAGATAGTAGCTTGTGCAGAGGAAACAGATGAGTATTCCACTATACAACACTGTATTCTGCAATATTTCTACTATGCAATGGTGTTATATTGTGTATGTATGTCATATTTTCTCCTCAAAAAACTTCGCTCTGAGCTGAGAAGGAATGTTTGATATAATTGTATCATAGATTACAGTGTTAGATAGTAGATCAAAACATCTGACAATAATGTACGACACTGGAAAGTAGTGGACAGGGCACCTTTGCACAGTGCGGGCTAAATACTGGATGTTCTATACAATATTGTGAAGCACAGAGAATTTAAAAAAATAAAAATAAAAATAAAAAATTCTAGTGATTTTGGAAGGTTAGAGGAGAAATCTGGACAAATTGGCCAGTAGGGCTAGCTTAGGGGAAGAATCCGGACAGATTTTGAGACTTCTGCAGGCAAAAAGTCCAGATAAAATCTTGGATTTGGCCAAAATTTGGCCCTAACCTCTGAGGGCATAAACATGGGTCCTACCTGAGCCTACCTTATCATCTGCATAGGGATCCACACCATACCTGTAATTATGATATTATGGGATGGTTGATACAGGTGTCATAACCAGCCCATCTGTGATCTTAGTGCCCACCATACAGTGTGGTATATGATATGGATTCAACCCGTACTGTTAGGATTGTGCCAATAGGATTGCAGCAGTAAGTGCACTGTAGTGGAATGCCATGGGATGTGTCGGGCGTAGGTGAAGCTATTAGCAATGTCACCCCTGAGCTGAAGCCCTAAGATGGATACAGACGGAAGTCCACGGAGTGGCAGAGGTGAGGTAAGAGATAAGTCTAACAGATCGGAGTTCCACGGACTGGAGAACGAGAGTGTGACTTAGAGTCAGAGAGAGAGATTGGGCTGAACCAAGTTGATATTCGAACTGAGTATCTACAGTGTAGTTCTAAGGCTTATATACTAGTTAGGAGTCCAATCTAGTTCCTACTTGGAGTGGTCTACATTCTAGGGTTGTTGGAGGATGTATTCTACCGGTCGATAGCCGATGGGGACCGATGACATATTCGCTACTGATGTCGGGCTATTGATAAATTGTAATGGAGAAGTGAAATATAAAAAGAATATGAAATGGAATATGAAATAGAAACTGGGAATCGGAATCCATAGGTTTCTGGGCTGTGGCTTGTTGGGTTGAGTGGAAGTTGGGTTTCTGTCAGCATGCTCGTTACACATACTACCCATATGAATGATGGCCGTGTACAGCTGTATATATGGGTATCCAGGATGGCATCATTTTACTTCTAAATAACATCATGATTGATCAGCTCATTGGGAATTCTCACATTCCCTTCTTGTTAAGTGCTGCCATGTCAACAGCAGCCGTCCATGCTCACTCACTGCTCACTGCTGCTTTGTCTTACTATTCCTTTGTAGCTCTCTGCCCTTAGGCTGTCCTTTTCATACCTAGCAGCATCTTGTAGTCACCCCTCTAATCAGTATGCAATATACCCAGAATATCTATGACATTTTCAAAGTAGCAGAAGTTTCAGTCAAAAAATATCCATTGCACCTCTCTCTACCCTCTCTTCATGGCTAATCTTTATCTTTTTGAAATGTATTCTATAGATATAGCTGCTTGCAGCTGTACAACCAAGATGTCCGCCAAAATGCCCCCCTGAAGTGGAGAGACCCATGGTATCCTCCTCATGTCATCCTCCAATGCCATTGCCTTTCATGCAAGTCTGTGGTTCACCATGTCACTCATACTTTTTCTTTCTCCAGTTGCTGGCCTAATCTGTGCCACACCGGTGACACACGTGCAATGTGTTCACACATGTAATTTTGCAAATTCTAGGAATGCAAACATGTGTGTCCCCCGTGAATAATATTAGAGTGCATGTAAGGCATAGAGTGCTACACACTGAGGCAGAAAGCACTATAATAAAAATAATATGAGTAGAGCGCATGGCTTAGACTTAGAGAGGCACACTTGTGCCATTTAAGTGTGCAGTCTCAGTGCTTATACACACACACTGTGCCCTCCTCTGCAGTGTATCACTCAATTAAATTCACTGAAGATAATATATTGAAGGTGCTTTGCACTACATTGATCTATGATGCGCGAACCCTGCCGATCTGGCAATCACCAAGAAACATCATCCTGAACGAAGAATCAACAAGTCCGAATACTCTAAGGAGTTCTCAGCCAGAGAGAAATAAAACCCGCTGCCCATATGAAATATTAAACTAGAAATGGTTGCGCAGCAACCAATAAAATAAAACTCGCTCACTAGATAAGTTGCATGGCACTGTAATTAAATCCGCGGAGCCAATAAGAAGACACATGCCACATGGCATGATGAGGCTAGGCCTTGTCAAGTGGAGAAAACAGCAGTAGCACACGCGCCGACACGGAGTGCTGAGTAAAATAATGATTACTATCACTACGGCTGACATGGTGATGAGCCTCAAGGCTCTGTACGCTCAGAATTCACGGATTTTAGCATTATAATAAATGCCTTGTCCACTTAGCGGACTTTCACTAAGTCAACAATTGCAATCATGGCAATACCCACTCTTACCGCCAACTATCCTTCCCAGCTCATATTCCATATCAATATGCGCCACTTCATTAATGCCGCCAGGCACCTGATTGCAGATCTCACGGATTTAGGACCATCATTGATCGCCCAGCACAGCCATCAATGACATCAGCATCAAGCATCATTTAGAAGAATGCCACAGTCAAAGTACCAACTCCACGGCAAAAGACCTAATACCGTGACCTTTCCACTCACTTTACTAAGGCTGTTACAACGCCAAGATAATGCCGCACACATATACTTCAGTGTACTACCTTCAGTGTACTTTGCCGCAGCAACACAGCAGCCCAAGAGTCCGTATGTCGGGGGAATTCTTTCTGATCACTAAGTCTATATGCGGTAAAACTGTGTGGGTGCTGTTACTTTAGAACTCTGGGAGCACGCATTTTGTATCATTTCTTACCAATCGATGTACTAAGGACTTACTAAGGACTCGTTTCAAGTATTCTAATTTTATTCCGGACTTGTAGTATAAAAGCTAGTGTAGTAGTAGTTGCTAGGGATACAAGTTACTGGACACTAGCGATCATCCACATTATCGACCACCGTTATCGCTTGTACTCGCTGGGAGATAGACAATAACAACATAGTCACTCCAGGTTATACTCTCTGTCACGGCTTTTCTTCCAACAGTATTGGTGTATGCTCATATTGCGCCAATACATGGAATTTGGTGTCCACAACTCGCTTTTATCTTTTAATCCACCAGCATCGTTTCACTTTCACCAGCCAGGATCGTTTTCATCAGTTTTCACCTTCTACGTCGCCACCGTTTTACCGAGCTCAGTTCAGGATCATTATGTCCCCGTGTGGACTCAGATTAGGATCGTTATTGCTGCCAGTAGCATCTGTCATGGAATTTCGGTCAACAGTTTCAGTATAGGATCATCAGTCATGGTATTTGGTATCTTGCCGTCAGTTTCAGTATAGGATAGTCTCCGTGTAGACTCGGGATTAGTATCAGTTTAGTTTTGCCATCGTTAACCTCAGTATAGTTTCAGTATCAGTCCAGCCCAGTCCCAGCCATCATTTTGCCATCACTAGTTCCCCCTCATATCATCGCCAGTTCGTCTTATCTTCGTTTTACTGCCAGTTTCTCGTTTCTCGACTACAGTCTTCGTTTATTGCCATCACGGTATTTGTTATCTTGCCAACAGTATTTCTCTTTGACGGCATTTTCTCTAATTCCATCAACATCGCCCACGGCTTTTACCAGTCAATTGCCGTCACTTCGTTCATGGTTTGCCAGTATTCCCAGTTATACCAGATTCCGTTCCTTCTTGTCTATCGAGACCCTTCCTGGCTTACAGCCAATGTTTTCTAGTACTCGATCATTAAGGGTACTACTTCGCTGACTGAAAAGTCACAGTGTATACTTGTGTTCTTGAGGAATTCATCGCACGGAGGTGCACCAAAATACTCGCACAACAACAAAGCCTTTATTGCCGCTACGCGCCATTTGCCGTGAACTCCTCTAGAGTTTTGGTTTTTGCCGTTGCCACGGAAGTTTAGGCTCATCAGCGGCATGCAAGAGAAGGGAGTCCGAGGTGGAGTGTTGTCTATTTTCAGTATTTACATTTCATATAGTTAACAGTAAATATAAGAGTGGTAGTTACAGGTAGTTAGCAAGTTTTCAGACCCCTGCAGTTGTACTACAAAGCAGCGCGCTTAGTGTACGACGAAAGGATTTTATTTGAAGCTTCGAGTGAGAGAATATTATTGAACTTAGAATTATTTTGAACACTTTGAGGGCTCACGAGGCATGCCTTGCTCGAGCGCGCTTGACTTGTTCAAGTAAAGTACAGTAATTGATTGCGCTCTACTTAGAGAATATTGTATTGTGATAACTTGAATGTGCATTTGTGTTTTTGGAACTTGTTTGTGAATTCCGAGTTATTGCAAGTGGCAGAGGTTCAAACCCTTTGGCTTGTCAGTAATCTCTGAGGTTTTTTTTTGGTTTATTCCCAAGTGGCATAGGTTCAAACCCTGTGGCTTGTGGACGTGTTTTCTGTGTTTGTGTATCTCTGGATTGCATAGGTTAGAACCCTGTGGATCTACGAACGGGTTTTGAAGTGTTTTCTGCTTGGAGCGCAAGGCTTTAAGTCATGTCAAGTGAATTGTGAAATGTTGTGGACACTTGGGTGTTGCGCGCAACATATTTTGAGGGTTATACGTTCCTGTAGAACATTTGGGGGCTTGTGAAATAATACTTTTGCCTTGAGGCCGGGTGATTCTGTCGCTCACCTCCTGTTCCAAAAGCATTTGGACTTAGAAGATTATTATATTGCTAAGCATGCTATATTATATTGTAACGTGCAAGGATTCTTTCAATACTACTGCTATTGTGTGCTTGTATCGCACATCACCCCCGAACTACTGAGGGTTTGTGTGTGTGTGTGTGTGAGTGTGGGTGTGTTAGTGTTATATATGCTAGTGCATTTCTAGCTTGGCACACACAGAGCCTCTTCACCGGCATTGACATGCCTATTCCTTCTCAAAACTCCGGCATCACTTGATTCTCTAGCAGGTGCTTTAGTACTCACTTACATCTATTTTGTGGTTTCTCTTTTTGTGTTTGGTGAGCTTCCCTGAGCTTGATGTCAGCTATTGCACTTACAAGCCAATTCTGAAGTGAATGCAGCATTTCTGAGCTTTTTTGCGCTTGGGAGACTCTTTTCTGGGCCACGCTTTTGCTATCGTTGGTCCTATGTCTCACAAATGTGTCTGGATCAGTTTCACAAGCTTTTGAAGGCTGGGATTATGACAGTTTTTGTGACCGGAGATAGTAAACATTCTGAGGATGATGAAACTCACTGTAGGTCTTGCCGTTTCTCTTCTGACCACATACTTATCGCTATTTCTAGCTGAAACTGAGATCAAGTCTGACTCTGACTCAAACACGCATCCTGAAGAAAAGACGATCTTCATTATGGGGGCGGCGACACACACAGTATCCATTTGTGAGTACCAGCACAATCCATCTGTGCGATGCTAACTTTCCTATCAGTAGTATCAAATTTTACAACAATCGATGATATCCTTGACCATCTGTGTCAGTGGCATTTTGTACCTTTATGTGACCACCTTCTTAGGACCCATACTCTTCACATGCCTGGTCTGTGACATCTTCTATCTGGATATGAGACTATTGCTGATCTCAGAGCTGGCCCTATGACTCATTTTTATCTTTCTGAATGTCTTCTGGGAGGAGGTATGCATTGTTCTTATTGCAGAGTGGTGCACACTAAATCAAATCTTCATCCTCCAGCCCCTTTCGAATTTGAGGCATGTGCTCGTGATGAACAGGGCAACCTCAAAGATGCCAATGATATTGATTGGTACAATGATGCTGATGATGTGGCTCCCACCAAGAGCGCAGGCCCTTCTAGCAGCAGCGGTAAGTTAGCATGTTGTTATGTCACTCACTCAGGCTATGGCTGATGTGGAATTCTACTCAGGTCATGATCACCATAACAAAAAGATGGCAAAGCTTCAAGCCTCAATCGCAATTGAACAGGAGTCCGATGATGATACAGCTGGCAGGCAACCTACTCGGAAGCGATGGCGGCACAATAAGGGTAAGAAAAAAGCTGTTGATGATGGCATAGCCAAAGGGGAGGACTCCAGTAGTGACTTCTCTGATGCCAAGGTGTCTGACGAGTCTGATTCCGACACTGATGTAGAGATACCAAATGATGAGGTGAACACTTTTTTTTTCATGCTTGCTTGTACTCACATTGGGTTTCAGCTGGTGGCATCCCTATCATCAAAAACCATTCCGGAGGGTAAGGCATGTTCAAATAAACCATTGCAAAAGAAGTGCAAATGAGGTAATGCTCCAGAAACCAGCCATGGAGAGAATGCAAGGACTGTACAGGAAGAAGATGTACAAACACAAGTGCCATCTTCTTCAGAGGTGGTGTATTCAGATTGCATCCTATTTTACCTGAGTTTGATCTCTGTTTTCTCTAGAAATCTCGGAAGAAGAATCCAATCTACTATTTCTATGAGCCATGGCCAACCAATGCCCATGGTGAACCTGGCAGCAAGGGAGATGCTCATTACAAGTGCCATCATGGGAAAGCTCACCATATATTGACAATTATGGCAAAATGAGAGGGAGTTTAAATGATATTATCTTCATTTTAGCCATGGTCAACATTTATGAGAACTTACGCCCTGGCTCAGGACTTACTGCACACTTAAAATGACATGCTCCTGCCATGTATTGACTTTACAAAATATTGAAGAGTTGTTCCGATCTGCCAACAGAGGAGGAGATCCAAATTGCCTCTGCACAAAAAACGTTGGACCCTCAGACAGCTTCATGATATCTAGACAAGCTTGCCAAGGCATCTGGAGACCTTGATGCTGCCTTCACACATCAGGCAGCACAGGCTGTGGTATGTTCTAGTTGTATTAAACTCCTGCTTGTATTTAAGATTGTTTACAGGGCGATTGGGACCAGAAAAAGTTTGAGTGGCTACTTATTGAATGGATTGTGGCCTGCAACCAGCCTTTCGAAGAGGTTGAACACCCTGAATTTTGCCGCCTGTTACAGTATACACATCATCCCTTGCCATCACTTCATATACCGTCCGCAGATACCATCCAGCATAAGATTATGAAGATGGGTGATGGGGTTGCGAAGAGTTTATGCATGTTCTTTGAGGTAAGAAATGCAGTTCTCCATGCCAATAGTTCACAGCTAAATTGTTACAGTTTATTCTTTTCTTCTCTCCTCCTTTATCTTTTCTTATGTATGCATGCTTACTATTATGCGATCACCCCAGACCTGACATCCCACAGTACTAATTATAGTTCTCGAACTTGTATTTAAGTAGTAGCCTCAGCTGGCCTAAACCCCAGCTTTGGCTAAGGTTTAATCTACCCAACACTGAACTCCCTGTTTCGCGTCTACCTAAGTCCTCGATTGACTTCCCCAATCGCCTTTGACTTGCTAGAGTATCATCCACCAAAGTGTGAGTGGTGATCCTAGCTCGATCTAAGTCGATTAAAGTTGGTTGTTGACATAAATCCGGTCTTAGGAACTCAAATCCAAAGTTTCAATCTCACTCAACGCATGAACCTCACCCAATGGGTATGCATTCATAGCAATTGTTGCACATTATGTTATGAACAAGGGAAAGTTAGGTACGACAGTGTTTTATTGCTTTATTTGCAGTTTGATGATGATGCATCTCTTTGATAGAGAAAATACTCATCAACTTCCAAGAACTCATTGGTGAGCATTCGGGAGAGAACATAGCCGAGGTGGTATGGGACACACTTGTGAAATATAGCCTTGTCGGCCATGTAAGTCTCTTGTTATGACTGGGATTCAAATGATAACAATTTTCCAATAGGTGATGGCATTCATGATGGACAATGTCACGAATAACGATACTATGGTGAAAGCCATCAAGCAGAGGTGCAGGGAACAAGCGATTCCGTTTTCAGCCAGAAATTCATGTCTCCATTGCATGCTGCATACGGTCCATCTCACTGTTGTCAAGGTATGTTCGAATATAATGCAAACCAATATAATTCTGAAGTATATTTATATAGTTATTAGAAGGAATTGGTGCAATATCCAAAGACGACGGGAAAAAAGCAAAGAATAGCCATACTTCATCTTACCAGGACTCAATATCTGCTCCACTTGATGCTTCTCATAATGATGAGGCTGCATTATTAGATGAGGAAGCTGAACCTGAGAATTCCAATGATTTTGGGTCATTTGCAGGATCATCAAGCCTGAACATGGTTGTGTTGAAGGTAAGAAATTTATCAACTCCAGGGTGTTCAGTACACTGTTCTAACTCATATCAGCTTTGAAAGGTTGTTTGAGCTGTATGGTCAAGTCCCCAGCGACAACAAGCATGGCATCAACAAATAGCAAGTGCTGTAGCAGCTGCTGTGGGTTTGGTGACTACTGGCACACATATGCTTATTCTTGATGTGCAAACACAGTGGTCCTCTACTCATCAGATGCTTCATAAGTATTCATTTGCTTCTAGTACTATATTCAATTGTACTAAGGTATCATTCAGGCCATGCTCTCAAATATCATGCTGTGGTTGACCAATTTGTTGCCATCAATCGAGACCTATGCTCCCTTGAGCTTTCGAGTGATGACTGGGAGGTGATCTCTATGGTCATGAAGTAGCTGAAAGCATTCTGTTCAGCAACCACACAAATGTCGATGACAACCAAGCCAATGCTCTCTACAGCTCATGCTATTTTTTGGGGCCTTCAAGATGATGTTAAAAAGATTATTGCCACTCTTCCCCCAACAATGCCTCCTGAGTTGAAGAAGGGCCTATTAGATGCGCATTGCAAACTCAGCGACTACTACTACAAGTATGATGAATCACCATTCTATACATGGGCTGCTCGTAAGTTATCCATTATGTGACATGACCAGGGTCTAATAATTCTTCCATAGTTTTTGATCCTCGAATCTCATACACCAAAGGGTTAAAGCAAGACTACAAAAATGACACCAATCTGGATACTTATCTTGAGAGCTCAAAGCAGCTTTTGCAAGACTACTTTGACCATCACTACCCTTCTACAATGTCTAATTGTCTTGATACTCCATCATCTCCAGCAGCTGGACTATTGGGATCTACATTCCTCAATGGATCTCCTCAAAAGATAGACTTCACATCTCGATATGATGATGATGATAATTCTGCGGTCACTGTGGATGAGCTTTTTTTTTTTAAAAAAATCCTAAGTATATTGGTTACACATGCGTATGGTCCAATTTAGCTACTTGTGTTACTGTGTGTATGATGTCATTGATTAAGTCAGCTTAATAAGCTGTGCACTTATGTTATGGCACAAAATTATCCCTCGCCCTTGATAACCTGGTGTGACTCAGGCACTGCCACCTTTTTCCACTTTGGGAAATCCTGACCTCTGCCGAGAAATGGCCGCAATCTATCCGTCACCGTTGTTTCTTCACCAGACCCTTCTCATGGCCTAGTCCTACTTCTCACCAAACTCCATCGATCCCAGTCCTTCTCCAGTCTCTCTTTTCCCAGACCTGCCTTACTTGGCCAAGATCACCAATACAGTGTGATCAATTGATGCGGGGGCAATGTGCTGGGCCGGGGTGTGCTTGGATCACCACTCCATTTTGTTACACCTGGGTCCCAACCAGGTGGCAGCCTTGTGGCACATGACTCCATTTCCCTGTCTTATTCGAAAGATCACTGGAAGGGCCTCGAACCAATGCCCAGAATGGCAAGGAGAGATAAGATTTGTCATGTGATTTTAGAGGAGGTAATGTGCGTGACTTGATCATGTTTGAAAAGAGAGGCTGCGTTTCATGTAATTTGGATATTGGAAGTGGTAGAACCTGGAAAGTGTCTAGAGTGTTACTTTCTGGGAGGTGGAGGGCTCGAACTCGCAAGTGCAAAAATAAATATTTTTTGTGCAGAACAAGGTACAAACAAGCAAGCAGAGGTAACCACTACACCATCTGTCCCCCATGAACAAGCTTGAGCAATACTTTTCTCTCCCAAAGAAGAATTTTCAGACAACTAACCCAGTGAATTGGTGGTACATTCACCATGACTTTCCACGATTGTATCGCCTAGCCTGTGACCTATTATCAATCTCAGATATGATTGCATACTGGATCATGCTTTATTCTTGATGTAACATGACCATCTCTTTTTATTATATCATTAGGACCTCATAACCTGTTTTGATAAATAAAGTAAATCATTATTTTTATTAAATGCTGTTAAAAAATCTCAACTTATCCTATATTAATAATTTATTTTATAGCTAACTAATTTTTTCCCATGGCTCTGCAAAGAAGGCCGAATGCACAACTTGGCTTTTAAAAGGTCATTGGAGTAACAATTATATAAGGTTGTCTTTTTATATAGTTATTTTATACTTTTACTTTATTTCTAAATAAAAAAAGCTCTCTCTTTTCATATTTTAATAGGAGTAGCTTGAATTTTTTGGAATTAGTTGAAAAATATAAAAGGGTAAAATTTACAGCTCACCTAACTATTAAATTTTAGTGGCCTCTTTAATTTATTAACTAGGAGCACCAGTAACCCCTATCAGAGAGAAATTACTTTCTAACCTGATTTCCCCTAACCGCTAATTGAGAAGTTGGATAGAAAAGAAAATTATTAATATAGTAAATTTAAGTCATTAATTTTACTTTAGAAACTCAGAACTTAGATAAGGTTTTTAACTAAATAGAAACTCTAGTTAACTATAGAAATTGTGACAATTTTCATTAGATAAGAAGTTTTACCACTCTTATTATCGCCTATTACTTACACAATATTTGATAATTACATGTTAGAGTGTTTTAAAAATGGCCGCTCGACCTGATAAATTACAAATTACCTGTTTAACTTATAAAACTCATCACACTAGAGGGTTTGGCTGAGGTCTTTAAATAATAAAAATATAAATTCATTATCCTTCTACCCCTTAATTTATTAACTAAATTAATAAATGATCAGATTGATTTTACAATCACAGGTTAAATATAAAATATTTAAATTATAATAATACTAAATTATAATTAAGTATATTTTTTTAATTTTTAATTTATTAGATTATATTGATAATTTAGGCCGGTTATACTAATCCTTTCTTCAGATCTGAAACTTTGTAGAGAGAGAGTTAAAAGGAAACCTTTATTCACAAAGTGTGAGAGTCCTATTTTCAGAATTATATTTTATTAATTATTTTTACTTGTTTCGCTAGCCTTTAATTTAATTAGTTAGTCTCGCAATTCAACTGACTTAAAAGGGTTAAATTTTCTCTAAAACATAGTACTTTTACAGCCTTAATAACTGCAGACTATTTAGGATTTATCTACTTAAGGATTTGGCAGGTTAGATCCAAAATTAATATTTATTAAAAAACTTTTATGAAGAAGAGATTGTAATTGAGAAAGCACCTCTTCTATTTTTACTTGTGAATCTAGAAGAATTAGTAAAGTTAATTTTTCCAATTAAAGAAGAACCTTTGGAAAATTTTTTTGTCATTTAGATTATCACTTTTATTAGATTTACTTTTAAATTCATATTTAAACACATCTTTAAAAATAGCACATACTCAATGTCAGGCTCTGCAGTAGCGGTAGAGCATGTGTTTTCTGGAAGTAGAGATACTATTTCTCTGCGCTGAGCCCAGCTAAAGCCTGACACCATTTGCATTCTAATGCTGGTCAAACATAGGCTTCGACTTGCTCGCAACGCTGTTGAGGAATTTCTAGCTAATGATGATGATGAGGAAAACTTTGCATCATAGTTTTATATACATGTTTTAAATACAGGTATGGTCGTATACCCATAATACAGGCAGACCTATTCCATACCGACTCATATGGCTCCTGGATTTCTTGTGTATGGTTGCAGGTACAGGATATCCGTATTCGCATCCAACCCATATAGTTGACGGTCATACCCATATACAGGTATGATGAGGATCCCTACATCTGTGGACAAGTTTGTTTTGTTGAAATTTTTACTTTGAGTATCCTGCCCTAAAGTGCCCCTAATGACCTACTCTAAGAATACAGGACTACTCACTGTCAGTGGGTAAAATGATGCCATCCATCTTCTCAACAGCAATGGACTAGTAGGGTGAGGGCCGACACATCTGCACAGCAGGTCTGAGTCCTATGTATATTTTTTCCCTCCAAATTCATAAGCCAGCTGTTCAGTGATTGGAATGGCATGCCATCCAGGATCCCTTTCGAATTAAAAACATAAGGAACTAAAACATGCCAAGTCTCAGTTGAGCAGCATGTGAATTCAATTGATGCAAGCAGGTGATCTGCCCAGATAAAAAGAATAAATATTTAAAACAGCAAAACAGAAAAACAAATTATAACTACAAAATACAGAAATAGAGGCGATAGGGATGCAAACTCATCACCCATCACCAACCTCAGAACAATGGACAGGTTCTACAACATGCAAGAAGCCAGTAAGAGATAGGTACAACCTCAAAACAGATGAAGACTGACTGACTTTACTGTTAGGAAGCTCCATCAATGCCCTCGTTGAAGACAGGATGAAGAAAGACCCTCATCATCTCATGCAGATAGCACAGGTGAGCAGTAACAGATGGCTTCATAAAACCATAGAGACAGTTCCACAGGATATAACAGCATTCAAAGAAGCAGAACTTGCATTCAATGACAATGCACAGTGCTGGCACTTGATACATTATGCAGGGACCATGGATGCAGTGGACGAGATGATTTTCACTGCCACAGGCACACTAGTGGTGATGGACTTGCCACCAATTCTAAAAGAGTATTCATAAGTACCAACATACAGATGTGAGACCAACAAATAACCTTACCAGTCCCAAGAGAATGAGAGAAGATCCAATTTATGAGTCAGTTAGTGATGCTGTCCGGGCTGGGCAGCCAAGGATTTAATAAGATAATCAAGGCACTGAGAGGTATGCAACATACAGGTGAGAGAGAGTTCCAACAGAGATGATTACAGGATTGCACACTGACAATAGTGCAGGGATATGACACGGTAGAGTTCTCAAACTGATACTTCTAGCCCATGGGCAGGAACAGTGGCTCAGAGAAGATACAGATCAGTGAAGACATCAACCCTAAAGGAATACTGAGGATACTGGGAGGGATGAATATAGTGCACACTGAAGACAACAAAGTTAGCTATTTCAGAAGAATAATCAATGGAGGAAAGAAAAAGTGAGTGTTACACTATAGGTCCAATGTATGCTATCTGATGGATATCAACAGATATGTGAAAGCAAAATCACAAATGTTCAAGATTGGGGATATCATCAAAATGCAGTGCTCAATAGTATTTATGAAGTACAGAGGTGGAGGCGTAAGGATGAAAGCAATACTGAGGGCATTGGCACTCATTAACTGTGACCACACAATGGTAAGCACCACCTAAACATCTGATGATAAGGAATAACCAACTGAGTTTTTTTTATTTTCCCTTTTTTATTTTTATTTTTATTTTTATTTTTTGTTTGTTTCATTGTCATAGAACATGGCGAAGAACAAAAGTGTCATGGGTGAAAATGGCACATGATGCATGCCAAGAATGAAACACTGAATAGGGTTCAAATATAAAAAAAGCAAAGGACCGATGGAAGGCAAATACAGGAGAGGTAAGAACATCAGGAGCAGGGAGGAAGATGAAGAAAGGGAGGGAGACAATGAAGAAGAGGGGGGAGAAGGGGGAGGAAAAGGTCAGGCTATGGAGGTAATCGAGTAGTTTACATCAGAGGAGATGGTAGAAAGAGAGTGGAAGATAGCAAGTTCTTTAAGAGAGATATGATATCGGCCTTGAGATGGTGTAAGGCTTGGGAATGTTGGTGTGAACCAAAATATATTCCCTAGTGAATTCTTTTGAATGGAAGGAGGGTCTTCAACAATTCTGACAGATTTGGACTAAATATGATATGAGGACAAGGAACTAGGTGATTTAAGTTGATAGATGAGGATGATAGGTGATATATGAGGATGTAGATGGTAGATGATAGGTGAGGATAATGAGAGAGAGATGAGGATGATGAGTGACAAGGAGGATAAAGGATGACTGTGGATGATGATTAAAAAGTAAAAAGTATACTAACTCCTTGGTTCAGAGCCCTAGGTGGTGCTAGGCAGCTACTGATTTGGTGGAGTGAAAGGAAGGATATCGGGTCCCACTGATGTTGGGGGGGGAGGAATCTCCTCCTTTCTGCTAATCTACAGCTGTATATATACTAGTAGAGAACAATAGACTACTAATTTAGGGTACAATGGAGAACAATAAAACAATGAAAAGGCTTGTAGAACAATGGAAACAATAGAGTCTATAATACAATAGAGAATCAAAAGAACAATGAGGTCCATGATACAAACAATGAAAGGAGGACAATAAGAACAATAGAACAATAGAAATACAAGAATTACTAAAAAGGGAAGAACAATAAAGACAATAGAATGATGAAACAATAGAACAATGAGTCCCTGCTGATGATCATTTGTTCTATCATCAATTTCTGATGCTGAGAGATTTCTGATTTACAGATCTGAAGGGATAATTTCATCTTTCATCTTTGAGACTATCCTTTCCTGATAGTACAGTTGTGTGAGAAAGCTGGTTTGGTGCACAGCCTGAGCTGGATGTGCACAATGGATGTTTAAAAGAGAGTAACAAAGAAAAAATCAGGGAGAAAATCAGAAGTAATCATAACGAGTGAAACCAGGGTCAAATAGAAAACTTCCCATGAAAAGCTCAGGTGGGAAAACCAGCAAATACCGTTAAGGTTTGATACCTCAAATAGATTTTCCCACAGCTGATTCCACCTGCATAATGATCAAGAATCCTATATTCATAGGACTTGGAATTTCAATTGCCAAATGGGAAAAGCTTGGATCAGTCTATAGAGACATCATTGGCAGGTGACCATGCTAGAAAAAATGGACACATAATACCTGAAGGTGGTGTTTGAGAGTGCGAGTGTATCATCAAATCCATTAAGCATCATGGTGTGCCATCTCTAGCAACATGTCGAGTGCATGCAGTCTGAACAAATTCAGTGCAGAGAGAGTGGGCGCTAGTAACTACCTTGTTTCATGGAGAGACAAACGAAAAGCATCAGAATTAATGCTAAATGGTGGGTGGTTATTGTGATTGATGGTCATCATGGAACAGGAGATCTGACAGATGTTGGGCAGGCGAGATAGAAGGAAATAGAAAAAGTTGGAATCAGGAAATGTGTATGCATCAGGATGCAACACGAGAAAATCAATATATCTCAGATAATGATCTCCAGTCCATCCCAGAGACCTCGAATTTGGTTAGATTCCAAAAGATGTGACATAGAGCACAGACATCTGTACTGGAAACATTGTATGCATAAGATGGTGCTTAACAGTCCAGATAATTGTGAGGGTTGTCGAGAAGGACAAAACGTGCATGAAAGAATGACCTAGCACAAGGAATTCTTTGCACTGGCTAGTCAAATTTAGAGCTGATTGTAATATGTCACAGAAGGCCTTGTATATTTCCTCGAATGAAGAGTTTACAGGAGAGACGATGGGATTTAAGAATGCTTCGTGAATTCCCTAAACCACCTGGCTGGTCATTATGGAGCTTGTCCACCATGACATCAATTAATTCCTGTGGTAGATAATAAATAGGAGATATCGTCTCCTGGGAATAAGACATTTCTGCATCATGTGAGTGTAGTAGTTTTGGTGTGGTGGGAAACAAGAATCTGATCTTGGCTATCCAGACCACAGTGGTTTCGTTTGCTCCCGATGAGCAGTACCAGTCTGCCAGTTGGAGATATGAATAGACATCACATGTGTAGAGAAATTCAGCTAGAGCATCTATAGGTGTCTTCAGGAATGCAGCAGCAGTGGTGAGAAGGTTCAGAAACATAGTACGAAGTGTATTCATGGGGTTGCCTGGTTGGAATGCCAGATGTTAGAATGGCATGGCTGCTGTGATGCATATACTCATGAGTAGACCAGTCTCTGGGCTCATTGTTCTTATTTGCTTCATTGCCTGCTTACCAATCTGAAAAAGGTTTGTTTGCAGAGCAAGGTTAATGTGAGCAATGAAAATAAGGTACATAACCTCACTTGTTCCCATGAAACCTCATGACACAATTTTTGGAGCTACAAACGATCTGTGTATGATCTGCTCATGATCTGGGAATTCCATGACAGATGGCTGTATCAACTCACCAGCACGTCCACAGGTGTTCTGTACATCCAGGATCGAATGATGTGACTACACCGAGCTCTCAGCATCAAAAACCCTCAACTTGTTGCATTTCGTTGTCATTCTCTTGAACCGTGAGCAGAGCATCTTATGGTCCTTGTTGCACCATTAGCTGCTATATGGAATATAACTGATGGTAGCTTACCTTGACGTATATCCTTGCCATCTACTGATAAAAAATTATATCAGCATTGATAGGGTCCTATGAAATGTTTTATGATGGATAAACAAGAACGTTGAGAGGCATTTACCTTCATCGCCTCCCTCCTGTCACAAAGCTCTTTGGTTTGCAGTTGAATTGCATTGCAACAAAAAAAAACATGGAAAATGTAGTAGGCATGAGTACTGTGCATACCTTACAATGTCTGTAAGTATCAGAAAGAATCATCTGGACAACACCAAAGCACTTACAGTTCATGATGAAGGCACCATTGTGACAAAAATATCACTCAGAATGGATATGTAAGCACTGCATTTCCCACATATCATACACAGTCGCTGTTGGGCCTAACTTGATGAGGCTCCTAATGCCAAGCCTTGAACTGTGATCTTCTAAATCATTAAGCATGCAGTAACATCTCCATATGGATGGACATGTTTCCTGTACTTACATGATACTAGTTAATGAATGAATCTTATGTCCCTTTCAGAGGATAGACACAGATACCAGGCTCCATTCTACTGAATCTCATTCTGTCAGTGGAGATTATTGCCATTTTGAATAAAAAGGTCATACCTCATTTTCTGACCTATTTGACTGTGCTAGATATGTCCTGTATCTCATTATCAGTTCCACAGGAAGAAGCAGATACTTGAAGCACTTCTATCATCTGACCAGAGCAGATTGGAAAGGGAAAGCACATTTGCTTACATAAGTGATGCATCTCCATCAATCAGGAAATAAAAACAAACAATGCCATCTTCCTGTCTCCAGATTGTTATGATCAAGCTAGTTAGTATGTCATGTAGATGATGGTAGTGATCTGTAACTGGCTTTGAGATCAAAATATATGGGTTTTCTATCAAAAGGAATCTGAATAGTCAAAGAAAAGCATTCAGCATATTCTTCTAAAGCTCAGCAAGTGTTTAGTGTAACTGAATAAGTAGGAATAGACAAGCATTCAGCATAGTCTTCCCAAACTTAGGTTCACTCAAATGAGGATAATTTGGAATGAAAATTGGAATGAAATCTTGTAGCTACTGTTTGCTTGTATATAAGCTACATTTTCATTTATCTAGATTGTTCTGGAGAAGAGGCTACAGTGTCCATTCACTACAAAAAATCCCTATAACTATAGAAATGTCAAATGATACGTATCTCATAGGGATTCCATCACTTTTTGAATCCGCTCAATTCTTAATTATATGTATCCCTTGTAGCAGTCTCACCAGCCCTAGCTAGGTCCAGAAACTGTTGCCATATGGCTGCTGAGTTAGGGTCATGGGCACTGGGGATCAGGCACACATTGCTTGGGCCTGAAAAAAAATTGCAGCCCAGAAAAATAATATTTAATGATTTGCTGTTGCCTCTCAACCCATGTGCAGCCTATTTTGGCTGGATGCGCCCATGCATACTTGGATGTATAAAACTGTGGGAAAATATCATTTCCAATGTGGTAGTAGCTCTGTCAGCTTTGAAAGCTGGATAAAATTTGCATTGCACATAGATTAGTTAGGCTCTATTTAATTGGAATACATTTATATGATATATAAATGCTTAATGGAGTGTAAATACTGTTATGCAACTGATACACTGACAGGAAAATGGTACTCCCACCATGGCTGGAATTTGCTGGATGCACCCCAATTAGGAGCATAGGATAGAATACCTTGCAATCCCATACTCCTAGGGCTTTCTGTATCTCGAAAATATGATAGTCATATCTACATTTCATGATTTTACATTTTAGGCCAATAAATTAGCCTTCCATTCATGTTCATTCAACCAATAAATGCAA